CAGCATATATTACTGGAAATATTTTGCCTGTACAGGTTCCCAGATAGACATGCAATGCTCTGGAGTTCGTGGCACCTGAGGTAAAGCCACGGGCCCCCGTGGTCTGTATGCAGCTGAGGAGGTTTTCTTTTGCTATCATAGTAACAGAAAGTCTGTTAACACAGAAGCTGGCAGCGTGCGCCAGAGCAAGATACCTGACCTTTGTTTGCAAGTTTTGGGAGAAAGCCACAAGCAATGCGGCAGCGAGCTGGCCAGGAGGGTGCCCCATGGTGCAAAGCCTTTCTGGAGAACGTCAGGAATATCTCGCCGTGCTCAGGTTCAAATCATGGCGGTCTCAGGGTACGAGGAGGAATGCGAATACTGTGCAAGGAGAAGAGACGATGGGCTGAACCCAGGCATTTCAATCATGCGGAGGAGCTAGTCCTCATGACCTCCAAGACGGGACCTGGGTGCATCTCTTTGTGCCTGAACATGTCGTCTTGGATTTTACTGAGCTCTTTTTCTTCTATCCATGTCTAGTTTAAATTTCCGCATGCCTTGATTTTGCTGGTCGACCACATTAAAAATATTCAGTGTCTCAGGCACAGCTGTGTAAAATTTAAAAAAGAGAAATAAAATGAACAAATGAACTTCATACAAGCATGTCTGTGGGAGAGGATGTCATTTCCAAGAAGACTCCTTCCAAAAATAGCTAGCATTTTAAAAGTCAGTTGGCGAAAACAAAGCAGTGAATAACAAGCGTGGAAGTAAGAGCTGGATTCACACAATATCGCTGCAACCAACCCCTCCCCAGGAATCGAGGTCTGAGCCCCATTCCCCAGCCTCCGGGAACCTGTCTTGCTTCCTTTACCATTCATTTCATGCATACTTTACATTTTTCTGCAGAGATGTTCTTCAGTACTGAGGTACATGATCATATTTTCCCGCCCCCGGGTCTGATATGCAAAATCATTTTCTTAATTTACAGATAGCTGCTAGATAAACCCGAACCATTATCAGAAGAAAATTCTTGCCCTGTGTATTTGACTTGCCTTGCTCCTCATCCAGGAATTTCTTCAGGTCATGTCTAAAGAAAATTCTGACCCTTTCACCCAAAACTGAAGCCAAGACATTGCCAAACATGTGGTCAAGATAACTATTGCGTTTGTTTGCACAGTTCCTAGCGAGCTGGAACAAAGGGGAGATGGATCCCAGCACTGGCCTGAATGAGGGTGGGAGGGTCAGTGGTGGAGGGCCAGTGGTGGAGGAAGGAAGTTAAAGAGATGATTAAAAAGCTAGATTTACGCTCCAGGAGCCTGTGTTTTTCCCCATGGCTGGGTGGCATGAATGCAACTTGGCTGTCCCCTTCGGTTCAAAAAGGAGAAGCCCCCTTCTCTTCAAACTGAAGTTCCAATGGCTGCATGTGATGAAGGACGCAAACATCCGAAATGAACATGTTTTGCTGTGAGCTACGACCTCAGTGCAAGTTGTGCATTTGATTAATGATGTGCAGTGGTATTTCGGAGTTGACATTTTGGAGAGCTGATATGGAGTAGCCTGCCCCGGCGATGCTCACCCTTCTACATCCAAGGAACACTTTGCAGAGCTATCAGTCTCCTCAAAAAGCTCCTAACCGTTCTGTCCTTGTTCCAGAGTTTCAATTTCATATTGTCCCTAAGAAACACACCGGCTGGGTTCACACAACCCAACAAGCAACCCTGCATTGGGACCATAGTTCCCATGTTTTTACTCTGATCCACCTGACCAGTGGCCAAGCGGCATCTGCATTACTGTGGTTTCCACCCTCCCAACGCTGTCCTCCTGCTGTTGGCATACATCCCATCAGCCACTGCACCTGAAATTCAGTCCCAAGGGGCATTGCGCCTGCCTGTGGTGCCTGCCTCTTCCTCATTGGTCTGCACATAGAGGCTGGATGGCCAGAGTGGCTTCTGCCATTGCTGCTTTTTCCAGAGGACTCTGTGGTACTTGTGTGGAAACCACAATCCTGGGTTCAGACAACATGAGAGGCCCATGGTGGGGAAATTCCACTCTGGCTTGCCAAGCGTCTGCACCCAGCCGCTGGGTGGGTCAGCGCGCCATGGAAAATAGCGCAGCACGTGGATTTTCGCCTCAGCCTATCAGTTGGACAGAGCCACTGTTCCCATGCTCCCCGTTCCCTCCTCCTGCTCCGGCTGCTCATTCCAGCACTCCACCCCGCGGCCAAATCCTCTTTGGCACCGCTCTGTGCCTGATGGACCTGAACTGCCGCTTCCTAATTGGTCCACTGAAGGTTTTGGGGCTGGTTCTTACCCCGCCCCCCATGTAACTGCATCCACTGCAGCTCCAAAAAGTTTTTTCTTAAATTAATGTAATCGCTTTTGCCACAATGCCCCTCTTCTCTCTCCACACATTCACCCACTTTCGCCCTGTTTTGGGGAGCAGACAGGGCGGCAGGCACATCGCTCAGCCGACAGGGGCAACGCAAGAGAGCGCACGCCTGCCTGGGCGCCTGGACAAGCCCCCTCCGCTGCCGCTCCTCCCACGGACTCCAACGTTTTTCCTTACTGCCAACGGTAAAATGGAGCTCCCAGGTCCAGACATCAGAAGGAGCTGTAATGAAGCACAGGAATCTTGGAAGTAGGTTGGGAAGCCGAACACCCCCTGCTGAAATGCTGGGCTGCTGTGCGAGACCAAGAAGGGCAAGACTCAGCCTTCGCTTCCCACGGTGCGCAAACCCGGCCCAGCGTTCTCCCGGGGCTGCTCGTTGCAGAGGAACACCAAGAGTGGACCGGCTTCTTTGGAGGAGCGATGTCTGCCAGGGTCAATTTGCTCATCGGGGTGCTCCCAGCATTTGAGTTGGTACTTCAGAAACCCTGATTTCGGGAATCTGGGATGCTGACACTGAAGACAAGGTGGGGGGGGCGGGGGGGCCTCGACGGTTCTGCATCCCAGGTCTGCATCCAGGCTGAAGCACAGGGCAGATCCACCCTCTCCGTTGCCCCGGCCTCCACTCACCCCTCCTCCACTCAGAGATGGCAGAATCGCGCCCTTTAGGTGTGCGTGGCGGCTTCCTTGCCAGGTGAACCAAAGGAAGGAGAGACGGGGAGCGGACCTTCTCTCCACCCTATCACACCAGGGGTTGCTGGCGATTCGGAGCTTGGCACAGACTGGTGGGAGCAGCCCGGTCCCCCCAGATCCGGCCGACTGCCGCTTCCGCACCCTGAAGGGCAGCCACGGAAGAATAAGATGCAGGAGAACCGTGGAAAAGTTCGGTTCTGTCCAGGCTGCTTGGAAATTGCCTTGAAGCAGAACGGCGCCAAAAGGCGTCCTTGGCACCCGGCATTGCAAACTTTGCACCCATTCAGGTGCCAAGGAAGCCACAAGATGATGACATTCATGGGCTGTTTCGAAAGAAGCGACCGATAAGCAGTGGGCTTTGAAGTGGTGGGAACGAGGGGGCACTGGCGGAAGGGGGTGGGCTTCATGAGGGCCCCCCTGCACATGAGCACCATTGTCAGAGGGACCTAAAGGATGAAACCGATCCACACGGGGATGAGGGATTTGGGGAGCAGGGGCCACACATTCCCACTTCGTGTGGGGATTCCTGTGCAAGGCACACCGTCCCAGTAAGCCTCTGTTTCCACTCCTCGCTGTTCTGCCTCCACTTCTCCCCTCGATTCCACCTTTCCTTTCCTTCTTTCCTGTCCGTCTCGCTTTCCTTCTTTCCATCGCTCTGCCTCCCTCAGCCTGACTATGCCATGTGTCCGCGGCAGCCAGCGGGAGCTTGGCCCATGGATAGGCGGCCACCACGGGAGCCCTCCGTGAGCCTCGGCATCCGCCTTGACCCAGCTCCCACTCGCTCGACGCCGAGAGCCGAACCCGCCTGCCGAAGCCAGCAGCTTGCCAAGCCACCAGCTCAAACAAGGTGGTGCGATTTGCCCTTTCGCCGTTCCGCCCCTCCCCTCCCCTCCGCTGCCCCCACCCCCGCCATTAGTGCACTGCAAAGGAATGGGCCCGCGAGTCCCAGGGCAGCACGACGGACTCGAGAGGGTCTTCTCTGCAGCAGAACCGAAGGATGCACTTCTAAGCAGGTCTGCCCAGCAGGATTTCCCCCAGCACTGCATCCTGCTCCGTGAGGGGGCCACCAGGACCCCCGGGGCCGTCCACTGCACAGCCCTGCTCCCGGGGAAACTCCTCCCACAGTCCCAAGGCCATCCTCCAGAGCTGGCCGGGATAAGAATTTGCGCTCCCTTGCCAGTTCCACAAACGTGCTGCAAGGGTGCCAGTGAGACCGGGAGAAGGACTGCACCGAAGGGCCACGTAAGATCGTGCTTGGAGACGGGGGAACAGGTCGTGACAGGACTGTGTGGAATGTGAGGGAAGGGCTCTTCATATTTATTCCCAGAGTTGCTGTTTGTTGTGCCTGACTCTGTAGATCCCTCTTTTTCTGCATTTCTCGGACAGCTGCCAAAAAGAGCAAAAAGGCGTGTGGGTAGCCGTCATTTCGCAGGAGGGCCTTCGGGGGTCCATGCCAGCTCCAAGCCCCCCACAGTCTGGACTAACCCTAAACTGAAAGCTGCTGCTGCTTTGGGCTTTTCCAGCCACAGTCCGGCTTATACCCACCTCCATTCCTAGGCTCAGTTCTTAAGCCCCCGCAAGCCAGAACCTGGGGCCATCTTCCTAGAGGTGGGAAACGGGGCATCTCCGAGGCCTGGCAGAGCACTGCTTGCGTCTGAGGAAACTTTTGCGGCCTGGCAGGAGGAGCGAGAGGCGGGGATCCACGTGCACGTGTGCTGTGGCGTGAAAGCCAGAGCAGAGGTTGCCGAGTTTTCCAGGCTGCTGAAAATCATTAGCAGAGGGTTCAGGTCATTCAGCCCTAGCCCAAGCCAAGCCCCTCCTCACTTGGCTCTCCCATGATGTGTCGTTACCCATTGATTTTATGTCATCGCTTATTTAAGGTGGATTGGTTTGCTAGGATTTGGAGTGCTTCTCCAGGTCTCGGCACAGAGGGGTAGGTGGTTTACAAGGGGCCATCAGCCCCCCGTACTGGGGGATGTGAAGGATAAGGGTAGGTGGGCATCACTCAGGTAGATGGGACTTACTAGAGAGACTCCTGCTGTGTTCTGTTGCCCCCTGTAGAAGATACCAAAGTGCTTGCTAGGCAGAAGACCCGCCTGGAGGCCGTTCCCGTGCTTCTCCTGCGCTAGGCGGCCATGGTCCGAAGAGTGGCCGTCATTGGGGCGGGCGTGAGCGGGCTGGCTGCCATCAAGAGCTGCCTGGAGGAAGGGCTGGAGCCGACCTGCTTCGAGCGGAGCGACGGCATTGGTGGACTGTGGTGGTTCACGGTGAGTGCAGTGCGGGGACAAACGTCTCCCCCGACCCATGAACGTGCTCACCCCGTGGCTGCAGGCACGAGCAGCTGGCGCAGGCCGTCCCGGCCCTTCTGCTCTCTGCTGCCTGGGTTGCAGCCATGTTTCCAGAGATCATGGCTTGCGGAAGGTAAGGAAAGGCGCAAAGGCACAAGAGCTCACCTGGAGCACCGTGTCCCGTGCTGGGCACCAAGATTTCAGAAAGATGCAGGCAAATTAGAAAGGGTCTGGCAGAGGGCGACAAAAATGATCCAGGGTTTGGAAACGCTGCCCTGCGAGGAGAGACGGAGAGAGCTGGGCATGTTCAGCCTTGAGAAGAGAAGGCTGAGGGGGGACATGTGATCCTCTAGAAGGACCTCAAGGGCTGACACAGAGAGGAAGGCCAGGGTCTCTCCTCGCTAGTGCCAGAGTGCAGGACATGGAAAGATCAGTTCAAGTTGCGACAGCCCAGATTCAGGCTGGGCATCAGGAAGAGCTTCCTCACTGCCGGAGCAATGTGACAGGGAGCAGGTGGGAGGACAGTGTCCACATCAAGGCATGACAAGCCTTGGAGAGGCGGCCAGCGTCCCTGCAGCCAGCCCACGATGGCACAGCAAACACGGCCTTTTGCCCACAGCCTTGCCAATGGCGGGCCGAAGGTCTGCGGGTGCCGCTCTAGAGGGAGGATGGGCCCGTCCTCTTGCTCCCCAGGCCAGTCGTGGGTCCCCTTCAGCACCAGGAGGGGCTGCCATGGGTGGCACGTGGCAGCCGAACCCCCAGCCTGGGCTGCAGCCTGGGACCACGGGAAGCTCCCCGGAAGGGGCCGGATGCGGCTGATCCCTCCGTGAGGCACGGCCCTGGAGGGAAATGCTCAGAGCCGTCCCGATGCAGGCTACTCCTTGGCTGTTATTTTCGTGCAGACGTGCAGACACTTCTTGCACTGATTCCCAAAGACCCCTCCAAACCGAGCGTCTCTTTACCAGATGCGGCAGCAGCAGGCGCTTCGCGTGCTTGCTCTTTCCCTGTCTTCGTGTCCCATCGTCAGACCATCGTCTTCGCTGTTTGCAGGCTGCTAATCCAAGAGCAAATATGTTAGATAACACAACAAACTGCACAGTTGTTCAGCCATGCTGTTTGTTGTGTTATCTAACATACTCGTTCAGCCTGCTGTGATCTTTGGACTGCTTCCAAACGGGGATCATTTTATTGCTTTTGTGTAGATTTGCTGAAGTGTTTTGTGCCCATTTCTGTAATGGCTCGAATTTCTGCCCCCCCCCCCCCCCCCCCCCCCCCCCCCCCAACCACCACCCCCCCCGCCAGCAGGGAGAAGTTTTGGCACGGCGCTCTAAGCATGTCGCCTGCAGATCAACCGACCGGGATGCTTCTCCAATGGTGGCAACCGACCTCGGAAAGCGCTTTCCAGGCACCTCCTAGAGAGGAAACCTGATAGCAACACCGACGACGTTCCGGCTGAGCTGCCTCCTTTCCAAATCATATGTAACTTTATAAGATCACCAGAGATCATTTTCATTAAAACTGATACCAAAATGCACCAGGTTTCACACACCTCCAGTCATGATTACCAGAATTGTTTCACTTCACAAAACACTTTGGTTCCTACTGTAATTTTCCCCCAAAAATGCCACCTGTAATTTCAGCCCAGTTCTGCATCAGTGGATGTCATTTCTTCTAAATCTGATGAAAATGTGTGCGCATTCTCCTATTGCGTGTATTCTTCGAGGCACTTTTGCGAATGTATGGCTCCTTTCAAACTATTTTCTCCGTTAGATTGTGTCTTTGCGTGCAGTTTTCCCTATTGTGCATGTGTTTGTGTGTGTGACCCAGGCATACGGATTTTTCTGTGTTATTTCCCCTAACATGCACATCGGGGGGGGGGGCAGGGTGGAGTCATATTGCAAAAGCTGGAGAAGCCTCCGTCTCAGTGCAGAAGGAAGGTGCGTCCTGGCTCATGGCCTGCTTTGGGAGGCATTTGCTGGAGGTGCACGAACGTTTCAGCTAGAGGAATTTTTTCACCCATCTCTGCCCAAGCCACGTGTCTGTGGAGGATGCTGCACCCTGTCCGGCCGCACTGCGTCCCCCAGGGGCCGTCCCTCTTCAAATGAGGCATGAGAAATGCTCTCTTGCTGCAGATCGAGAGCCACGTGGGAGGTGTGGGATCCCACATTTCGGGGTAACCGTGGGCACTGCCCCCTCTGGCCTGGGCTTCCCTTGCAGCAGCTTCACAGCAGTGCCTGTGCTTGCTTCCCTCCCCCCTCAGGAGACGGCGGAGGAAGGCAGAGCCAGCATCTACCGGTCGGTGTTCACCAACTCATGCAAGGAGATGATGTGCTTTGCCGACTTCCCTTTCCCAGAGGATTTCCCAAACTATCTGCACAACACCAAGCTTCATGAGTATCTCTGGATGTATGCCAAGCACTTTGATCTTGTCAAGTACATACAGTTTAAGGTATTTATTTTATTTAATTTTAATTTAATTTAATTTATTTATTTGGGTATTTTTATCCCGTCCATTTACAGTGCACGTCTCTGGACGGCTTACAAATCAGCATCCGATATATACATATAAACCCAAATAATCCATCGCAAGGTAGGAAACTGAGGAATGGGCAGGGTGAATGTGCCAAGGCAGACCAGGCTCTGCCGGAGGAGAGCTCAGCCGGATGCCTTGGCCTCGTCACAAGCGGAAGGGGGCAAGCGCCCTCCCCTGCAGCCAGGGGCGCCACTGCCCAGTGGAGGCGGAGCGCAGTGGCCCCGCACCTGCAGCGACATCTCCTTGGGAAGGCTTCCTGCTGGGAACCCGGCAGCCCCCACAGAGCCCTGCCTTCCTCTGATGCCGGCAGTCAGTCCAGGATGGCGTCTCGCTCCTACTCCCCCCGATCCCCCACGCGGAAAAAGTGGGAAGGCTCCGGCAGCAAGTTAAGACGAGGCTCAGGCAGCCCAGCCGCCGTGCAGCAGCTCAGCTGGCCCTCCCCAGCCTCACTTCCGGAGGCCCGGGAATCCGGGTGCATCCCGGGCGACACCCCAGCCGCTCCTCCCTGGCCATGCCAGCCGTGGCGGGCAAGCTGAGCTCCTGCACCTCCCGCCCCACTCCCACCCCCACTGCTCTGGCCCACTCCACCCCGTGAGTCTACCCTGGTTTGTGGTGAAGAAGAATGTTTGCCTGGATTTTAAAAATGTTGTATTGCATTGTATTCTGGGTTCAGGGCTCGCCCACTTCCATCGCCCAAGCCCCGGATCCTTGCTCTGCTTCCTCTGCACTTGCCTCTCTGGGAATGTGGGGAGGGATCGCAGAAGGGGAAATGTCCAGGTGTCTCCAGATTATGCCCATGCTCCTTGCAGGGGTGCTTTGCCTAATCTCTTAGTCTCCTGGATGTGCACATGGCGGGCACGTCGTGAGTGGAGCCCGCTGGAGCCAGGGTCAGACTAGATGGCCCAGGGAACCCCTTCTGACTCACTCAGTTTCTCCATTTCTGTGCTTCCGTGCCTGTGTCCAAGCTTTCCTCCCCAAGAGCGCCAGTGCTCATTTCCCACCGCTCGTTCTCCTCTCAGTCGCCCTGGCTAGTCCAGGCCGGGGCTCTCCTGCCCTGCCCTGCCCTCAAGCTGCCCCCAGCCGCCGGCCCTCCCCGCGTGGCTTCGTGGCCTGGAAGCCCGTCTTCACGGCACTGACATTGATGTCCACGTGGCCCCATGCTTTGGAATGAGGCTTCCCTGGCAGGGGCCGCGGATCCCGTTCCTAGAGCACTTTCCGACCGGACGTGCTCTCGAGAGGGGAGCAGTGGTCAGGCAGAGGTTTGAGTGGCCACGTTTTCTGCACTCCTGCCTCTGGCCAGGCACAGCTCACGTGCCCCCGTGGCAGGCGCCTGGCCGCCGCTCTGCCTCTTTGCTCTGGGGCCTGCACGGTACTGGCTGTGCTTTGCACGTTTCCCCAAAGACGTTTGTGAGCAACATCAAGAAGCGTTCGGACTTCGCGGCCACTGGCCAATGGGACGTCACAAGTGAAAAGGACGGCAAGGTGGAGACGGCTGCCTTTGACGCCGTGATGCTGTGCACAGGACACCACATCTACCCAAACATTCCCACCAAGAGCTTCCCAGGTAAGAGAGCAGCTGGAGAGGGTGAGAGACGCTGCGACACCCAGCCCGGTTCATGGATGGCGACAAGAGGCGGCTGCGCCTCCAGTTTGTCTTACAGGACAGAGCTGAGCTCGGTGTTGTGCTTCCCAGCTTTTGGGTGTTCCGGGACAAAACAGACGAGGCATCCAAGAATCCCTTTAATAAAGGAAAACCATATTCATGGAAAACAGGAGCGGAACTGGGATCGTGGTGCCTGGGCAGACGCTTCGCCCCTTTCCCACTCAAGCTGCTGCCCCACCCAAAGCCTCACCCCGTTCTGAGTATCCTATTTGCCCCGACGGAAAGGGATGCCCTTGGCAAGAAGAGCTCTGAGCCTCAGCTGCGAACTTGCAAACAGTGAAGGGCCTTCAGGGGAGCCTGGAGGCAGAATGGGGCGGATGGCACCGAATCCCAGACCAGGGGAGCCGGAAGGGGCCTGTTTGAGGTGCCACTGCGCATCGGGGTGATGGTTCTGCTTTGCCCGCTGCCCCCCAGGGGCCAAAATGCCGGAGGACAGCCCAGCTCACACCCCTGTCCCCACTGCCACGAAATGTCACTGTAGTGCAGCATCAGCTTTTAAAAACGCAACATGATTTCTAAGCAAGAGTCTAGATAAAAATCCAGACTTTCTAGGTAGGATTTGAGGTAAGCCAGCAACAGAAGCTGAGACAAACCCGTACGGCTGAGAGCAGGATCCATCTTTAATCGGGAGTTTCGCCTAGTGGGTACTGGGCTCGTGCTTTACATAATTGTATTTTGGGCTAGCAAATTAGCAATTGCACGAGCAGACGGAGTCTTCTGAGGACTACGTAGCTGCACCTCACCGTGTATTCACGCCAGGGGCTTGAATTTGCATGTTTGATTCTTCCAGATATCTGTCTTCCACTTTCCCATACAGGGTTGGAGAAGTTCAAGGGCAGCTTCTTACACAGCCGGGAATACAAAGGACCTGAAAAGTTTAAGGGGAAGAAAGTTCTGGTGATTGGCCTTGGGAATTCGGGTTGTGACATCGCCACGGAGCTCAGCCACACCGCCTCCCAGGTACATCGCCCATCCCGCTCAGGAATTGGAGGCTGCTCATACGCCAACCTTTAGGATTACTAAATGCACCCATTAGTCTTGGAGAACGGACGGGGCCCGTCTCCCCGAATGTTTCTGTTCAGGTTGTGGGCGAGGCTGCCATGAAACTGCAGCATCGGCATCATTTCCCCATTAAAATCGGCCGGCCTAGAAGTGCCTCCACTGCAGGGCCACTGGTGCCCCCTTGCAGCAGCCGTGGCCTGCCCGGCTGATGGCCGTCCCACGTGGCGGCCACACGGGAGAACCCCGAGCTTCTTCGTGAGTCTTCGCTGGAGCTGAACTGCTCTCAGCCGCTGTGGGAACCAATCTGGCCTGAAACGGAGGGTAGAAATGTAATTAATGGTTGAAGTGCTGACCCAGGGTGACCAAGCCGGGCAGCTTGTCTATCTGGCCCCCTATTTTGGGGTCTGATGTCGTATGACCCCACAGCCCCTGCCTTGCATGAGGCTTCATCGTTCCAGAGAGCTGCCTTGGGATGAAGAGGGAGCGAATCCCGGCCCTTTCATCAGAGAAAAGAGCACAAAGATCGCAAGGGCAGGACCGCACGTAACGTCCCCCCTAACAAGCCCTTTATGAGCTTGCCCATTTTCAAGAGGTCTCTGAAGAGTCATTCTTAGATAAAAGCGACGTAGGTCTCGCTGCTTCCCGCCTTCCACCTCTGAGCGCCCACCCTTTGGGGTGCCCAGGGCAGCCCCCCTGAACCACAGCAATGGCCGTTCCCTCTGCGCCCGGCCCCGCTGGCTTTCCACAGGTTTACATCAGCTCGAGAAGTGGGTCCTGGATCATGAGCCGCGTCTGGGACCATGGCTATCCCTGGGACATGATAGTGATCACGCGCTTTGAGACGATGCTCAGGAACGCCCTCCCGACGGCCATCTCCGACTGGCTGTACGTGAAGCAAATGAGCCGAGCCTTCAGTCATGAGAACTTCGGCCTGATGCCACTGAACGGGTAAGGCTACGACCGCGAGACCGGGTGCTGATCGGCTCTGCGGCCAGAGCCCCCGGCTGTGCCGTCCGGTCGCTGGAGAGATGCACAGTCCGCCTTTGGACTGAACAGCCCCCCTGGCAGCCCGAAAGACTAGAGCAGCGGCTGTGGAGAGGCCGCCGGGCAGATGACGCCTGTGCGCAGAAGGGGAGAGGTGAGGCCTCCACGGGCTTCTTGAGCAAGGCTCTGCGCGGATGCAGAGAACACTGCCGCCAGAGCAGGCTGGTGCACATTGCTGGCGAACATCCCCAGCTTCCAGTCGCGGCCGGTGAGGTCTGAGCCGGGAGGGGAGCCTGGCGGCATTGCAGCTCGGTCGGAGAAAACCCAGCCGAGGCGTGGTTTCCATGTCGACGAGCCCCAGGGCTGCTCCCTGTGAGACCGTCTGAAGCCCCCGTGCTCTCTCTCCCTGCAGGACTCTGCGCAAGGAGCCCGTCTTCAACGATGAGCTCCCCAGCCGCATCACATGTGGAGCCATCGTGGTAAAGCCCAACGTGAAGGAGTTCACCGAGACGGCCGCCATATTCCAAGATGGGACCCGGCAGGAAGGCCTTGACTATGTCATCTGGGCGACGGGCTACAGATATGCCTACCCTTGCATGGAGGACGAGTCCATCATCAAGAACCAGAACAACGAAATCATCTTGTACAAGAGCATCGTTCCCCCTCTGCTGGAGAAGCCAACGCTGGCGGTCATCGGCTTGGTCCAGTCGTTTGGGTCGGCCATCCCGACGGCGGACCTCCAGGCTCGCTGGGCCGTAAGGGTGTTTAAGGGTTAGTGGAACGCCCCGAGTTGGGAGTCGGAAGGCCCCGGTCTGAAGCGCACCTCTTCGGGTAACGCGCTGGCATCGGGTGAGCCACACGTCGTGGTGCCACGGCAAGAATCAATGAGCCGCAGCTGGTGGGGACACGCAGTTCATGCGCTGCTTCCGTGTGCTGTGCACAGCTCCTTGCCGGCGCATTTGGAGGCTGTTGCCACGATCGGTTGGCCAGGGGCTAAGTGCCCAACCCAGCCGCAAGCCATCAGGCTAGTTAGCCCCTGAGTGACCCAGCAGTCCCGTTCATGCACCTGTTTGTGTGCAGAAAGCAGAAGCGGCGTGCGGGCAGTGTGCCTCCCCGTGCATCATGGGTTCCATGAGCCACCAAAACACGCACACGAGACCGTTACCTCTTCTCCTGCGTGAACCATATGACGCTGGCTGAGGCTAAGGGTCAAAGGACCAGTGCATGAGACACACAACCAGGGACCTCCGAGCCAGACTGCGCAGTGGCCTTTTGGCAGGGAGCGTGTCCTCTCCCACAGCCAGATCCAAATTCCCATCCAAATGGACTGGGGCTGAAGTATGACGGGGATACCTCCGACGACCTCCTGCGTGAGATTCGCAGCTTTTAAAAAGCCGCCCTGGAATGTCCATTTGCTTCACGAGGGGCACCTCCTAGGTACTGCAGAAAGCGCCAGATCTCAGATGGATCCAGCCTGCCGGCCGTGATCCCTCTGGAGCATCAGCATCTGTCTGGTATACAGGCACTTTCCGCAGCCTCACTGGTACCTAAGTTGGCTTCAGATTTGTGGCCTGGGGGGCAACATTCAGCCCCTGTGGCCACTCAAGCCCTCCTCTGCTCCCGGGGAGTGCCGAGCCACAGGACGAGGACAGGCGGCCGGCAGGTGTGTGCGCACCTGTGGAAGGGATGCTTGCGAGAGAGACTCACGGCCCATCCTTCCTTTTTAACAGGGCTGTGCAAGCTGCCTCCACGGAGAACCATGCTGGAGGACATAGACGACAAGATGGGGAAGAAGCTCAAATGGTAGGTCTCCCGGGCAAATGCACGCCTGCGCTCGCTTCTTTCCTGGGAGGATCCCGCGCTTGCAAGCGTTCCATTACCGCGTTCTGGGTTTTGGCATTTATCGCCAATGAATCGCTGGCAGGCCATGGGCTTAAAGACTCTGTGCGGAGATTTGCAAAGGCGTCACTCAGGTTGGCGGGAGCTGTGATGAGTGAGCCGTGGCAGGTGAAGGGGTGGGCATCCGCCTGCTGCCTTCGCCCAGGTTTGTCCTCCGGGAGGGACCTCCCCCCTCCTACCCTGGGGCTGCCAGGCTCAGGGGCATGTCAGGACTGGCCCCGGTTCGGAAAGCCTCATCCCCCGGGGGGCCTACTGGCCTCTCCCATCACTTTTCTTTAAGGGGACGGGTAACAGAGGCCCTCTTGCATGGCACTTTGGGGCAGAGGTGGGGGGCCTCTGGGGAGAGTCACCATATCCTGCAGTAGATTTTAATCTCCTCCCGTGCTTTTTGCTTCTTATCATGTTGTTCAGTTGGCGTTTGGGGGCTTTAATTTGGCCATCCTCAATTTTAATTTCTTACATAAATTTTTACAACCATTTTAATCTTCAGTCTCCCCTTTCTGCACCTCCTTAAGATGGAATGGCCAGAAATAACCATCGGGTTCAATTAGTTCATTACTGAAGATAAATCTTCACAAGAAATGCAGTTCCTAAAATATCTCATGCCTCAAACGTAAAAATGGCATTACTAGATTTGATTTCCCCTGTTTTCTATTCCGCATGAACCGTCTTCTCAAGTGGCCACGTTCTTCGTGGTACCAGGGGGAAATGCTCAGTTTGATCTCGCACCCGTGGGGTGAGGACTCTGGCGCTCGTCTAGATGGCAGCACTGCTCCTCTCTCCCGCGGAAGCGAGAGGAATGCCAGGCAGAGCCTCCCCCCAGCGGCCCTCTGCCCGGGGCCAGGCGGCCGTGCACGGGGCGGTCCGGCAGCTCCCTCCCTTTCCCCAGGCCTTCAGCAGTCAGGCCGCTTTCCACAGCGGCAAGAGCCGGGCCGTGCAAATTCAGTCGGGAATAATGCCAAGTTCCACACCTGGGAAAAAGAACCAAATGCATTCTGACCTTGGCTTAACAGTATTGCAAGTCAGAAGGATCCTGGAATTGTCCATCACAAGGTGATTATGTCAGCAGCGGCTGCAAAAGGGGCAAATGTTGCTCTGGGCTGCATTAGGGGAAGTCTCCCTCCCAGACCCCGCGAAGCGCCAGTTCCCCCGGCTCAGCACTGGTCAGGCCTCGTCCGGACTCCTGCGCCCAGGTCTGGGCACCAGTTTAAACAAGCTGGAAGGGCTCAGAGAAGGGCAGGAGGGCTGATCCCAGGGCCAGGAACAAAGCCCCACGAGGACTGGCCATGTCCGGTCTCAAAAGAGGAGACGAGGGGCTGGGGATGGCAGGACCCAGCCAACGCCGTCATTTCTCCATGGGGCACGGGGCTCTCCGCTTCAGGACAGGTGTGCAATGGTGAAGACCTTTCGCCTTTCGGCTCTGGACAGCTTTCCTGTGAAAGCACTGGCAAAGTGCCCATGTTCAACAACTGAGCATGGATGGGGAAAGCAAAAGAGAGCCGTTTAAATCTCAGGTGTGCCCGCCCCCCAACAAGATATCCTTGCCCTTCAAAACGTGAAGCAATGGGCAAAAAGAATGGTCCCATTTATGCAGGAATGGGTAATAGTCTGGCAAACAGCAGGGTTGCTTCATTCACGCTTCGTTGGATATTGGAAAATGTTCTGACACTTCCTTTCGGGTTATCAAACAGGATATACTTCTGCACCAGGGTGATAGCTATTCCTGTTTTTTCAGTTCATGACTTTCTAGAAGAAACCCGCATTCCAACAATTCCAAACAAAACAGGTTTTCCATCAGCGTTTTCCTGAAGCGCCTAGAAATGGGTCCACCAAGGTTCTCTCCCTTTTCTTTAAGGTACGGCCAAACCGACACCCTGCAAGCAGATTACATTGTCTACATGGATGAGCTGGCTTCCAGCATTGGGGTCAAGCCCAACATTCCACTCCTTTTCCTGACGGATCCCAAGCTGGCCCTGAAAATCTACTTTGGGCCGTGCTCTCCATATCAGTTCCGTCTGACCGGGCCAGGGAAGTGGGACGGCGCGCGGGAGGCCATCCTGACGCAGTGGGACCGGACGGTGAAGGCTACGAGGACCCGGGTGGTACACAAGATGCCGAACCCTTTTCCATACTCCATATTGCTCAAATTAGTCCCCTTCCTGCTTCTCCTTGTTGCCATTTTTGTGATGTTCAACTGAGTCATATTTTCCATACTACCAGTTTTCCTGAATGCTCCTCTGTCAGACGCGTTTGCATGTTTAAGCAGACACAGAGGCTGATCCAAACTGCAAGAAATCTACTGAATTGATATGTCAATAAAGCAATCAGGAATATTTTCCATACTATCATTACCAGCATTTCTGATCGGTTTAGAACATCATGTCATGCCTAAAGACTTCCAGATGCCATTGTACTAACATTATCGGGAAACTTACCCTCTGTATTGGTGTATGGGAAGACACTGGTCCTCGTGCCACACAGAAAAGTTGCGGGTGGCGGGACGAAAAGGCCTTAGGTGTGTTTCCAGGGGGATGGCCCCAGAATTCAGCCCGATGCGTTTCGGAAGGCATGCCTGCCTCCCCTGGGGGCCCTTGACCTCGGTGTGGGAAGTGTAAAGTCTGAATCTTTTAAAATATGAGTGAAGGATTGTTCTTTCTTAAGAAGTGTAGAATCTGTATCTTTTAGAATGAATAAATGCCTGTTCTCATTGTCTCATCCTCCCCACAAGATTTAAGAAACATTTTGGCGTCAAGTAAGAATTTTCAAGGCCACTTTGGCCTGTTGACCTCTTAGAAGGTACTGCGCATGCGTAATAAGTTTATGAATAGTAAATGACACACCTCGCATAGATAATAGGCTCATTAGCATGAACATGGGATGTATGAGCGGGAGGGGGGAACATATGGAGGAGTCGTCTGATGTAGGCGGGTGGGGAAGATTGTGACTTCTTAGTAACCAGCCAGTGGCGAAGCGGGGATAGTGTTGAGCATCGGGAAAGGAATGTATAAAATCTCTTGTAAACAGTAAAAGATTGCTCTTTGTTTCTCAGACTACTGAGGCATTGAGCCAGCCTTTGCAAATGCTTTTTGTATGGAGTAAGCTGCTTGTACCCACTCGAATCCTGTCTCAAGGAGTTTTGAATCTCACATCAGGAAGCCAGTGCCAGGCGCCTGGAGGGGCGCCTTCTGGGAGGCAGCTCCCAGCTGTCACGGTGAAAGGGCACCTCACCCTCCTGGGGCTGCCCCCCCTTCAGGGAGCTCCCGAAGCCTCTGCTCCACAGGCCGGGCCCCTGGGCAGGCAGGTTTCCGTCCAGGCTGTCTGCACGCACCACAGACAAGCGTCGGAAAGTTGCATTGCGGGCCTCCACTTTTGTTCGCCCTACGCCCGGGCTAGCTACTTCCTCTCAGAATATTTCATGCCCGGCTTCTCTATATATTGTGCAGTTGACAAATCCATTGACGTCCATTGTCAGAGAGAGGCAATGGATTTATCTATTTTTATCTTAACATGTGCATATCTCCCCATTCCCATCAGCTCTGAGCAGTTTTCAAGACATCGAAACAACAGTGAGTAATATTGACGAATGCAGCCTATTGAGTAAACAGATCTGCGAAGGCCTCTTGGAAGAGATCCGTCTTGGACTCCTTCTTAAAGGCGGGAGTTGGGGGAATCAGACACATCTCTCCTGGCAGGGCTTTGCATGGCTGAAGGAAAACCACAGAGAAAGCGCTGCAGGTGGTTCACATTACTCTTACAGCATTTAGAAGATTATCCCCAGAGGAGCTTACCTGGTGAGGTGGAATGTACAGGCAAAGGTGCCCCTGAAGGTATTTTGGAGCCACAAGGGTCTTAAAAGGTGATGAGCAGCACCTTACACTGAGTCCGAAACATATCAGCAGCCAGTGGGTGAAATGGGATGAGCCAGAGGCCAGCCTGGCTGCTGTATTTTGGATGAGCAGCAGTTTCTGGCGTGGATGCACGGGTGGCCCCGTGCAGCACGCACTGCAGAGTCCGGGCCTGAAGTTGCCGGCGTGCGCGCCATTTTCAGATCGTTCTCCTCCAGGAAGGGACGCAGCGGGCCGAGCAGCGGAGGCTGAGAGCCGACACTCTTGGCCGCGCGTCTCTTCTGTCCCTGTGGGAGCTGCGGCCACAAACAGCGCACTGCGTTTGCAGCGGTTAGAAAAGGCAGGGGGATGCAGGGATGTGCACATCACCACCGGTCGTTTGAGCTGCCAGCTTTCAGGATACCCGCCCACTGAACACGCCGGTTTCACGCTCCATATCCTGGTATTTTGAGCCCAGAGATCCGAGAGGTCCTTTTCCTGCCAGCTGCATGCACAGCCCCAGCCGGCTCTGCTCCTGGCCTGCTCAGCCTGGGAGGCTGCATCCTTTGATCCGCCAAAAATTCACCCGGCTGCCAACCCCATCCCTGGCAAGACAACCCCCCTCGCGGAGTTCCCAGCCCGGCGCCCTCCCCGGCTGGATCGGGCGCCTTGCTCTCTCGGAGTCCTGGGCATGGCAGCTCCGCACACGCGGGACGGCGCTGTGGCAACGTCCCCCGATAGACCCGGAAAGCAGCCCGTGGTCCCAGGGTGGCTGCCCCTGCGGACATTCTGTTTTGCGGACAGCAGGCGAGGGCGTGGGAGCCCTTCCTCCCCCGGCCGCGGCTTCCTGGTGCTGCAGGGCCAGCGGCTCCTTCCACCAGCAAACGAGCGATCTTTGAGGTTCCAGACTGAGACGTTCTCGTCCCCGTCCAAGAACATGCCGGTTTTGGCCACTGCCTTGAGGAAGATGAAGCGCCCTGGGCCCTGATGTGCCTGGACAGCTTCCAGCCATTCAGGGCCGCACCCGAGGTGGCAAGGGGAGGCTGCGTGGTGTTCGGCCGGGGGCAACAAGCAGCTCGGTCAATCAAAGGCACCGTGATCCGGCTAGACACGGGTTCTGCTCCTTTCTTGATGGCATACATGACACAGATGAGGCACATCTGGGGAACTCTTTCCATATAACATCCAGGAGGATCCGGAAAGGAGCAAGAATACAGGGAGCCCGATGTCATTCCAGCCGCAATCTCGGCATCCAGGGGATGGGCTCTCTGCATTCTGTACAGCTCTCCACCCACTCCTCGATTTCTGTGCCACAGGGTTCTCCTTAGAACTCCCAGATGCAAAGGACAACAGAGTTCCAGCGTCTGTTCACAACGGTGTAGACGGGGGCAGCCTGCACGGATATTCCTCTTCTCTACAGCTATGAAAAGCACAGGAGTCCTGGCCGCTTCTTTTTATTTGCTATCATAGATTTATAGGTACTTTTCCATATGTTCAAAGTAGCTAACGATAGATGGAATTCCAGTTAAATTACAAAAATGAACCTTAGAAATAATTGTAACGTACACATGATTGTATTCATATGAAGCAGTGGAAGATAACAACATCCGTTAATTTCTAGCTCCCCAGAAGGGCCAAGGCCAGACAAAGATTCCCCAGCGGAAAGTCGCTCATGCTCGTTGCTTCCTCTCGCTTGCAGAATGTGAAGCTCTTATCTTTTGATCTGCCGATGAAATATATTGCATTGTGGGAATGACTGGACAACCTCAGACACCACAGCACTTAATTAACTTTTATTATTACAAGCTGTCTAAAAAGTCTGGGACAAAACTTAGGCCATGCAACTCAGTAACAACAGATCTTGGAATCCTAAACTCCTAGAAGAGTAGAGTCGGAAGGCCCTGCAAGATAACCAGCATCAAATGTTGTGCCCTCTTAGAGGTTTCCCCTTGAGCAACTCCATGCATTGAATCAGTACAGAGAAACAATTCCCATCAGCCTTGATCAGTCAGAGGTGAGAGATGATGGATGCTGCTGACCGAAACATCTGGAAGGCCGCAACGGGCTCGCCCTGGCCCACCGCCAACTGGCTGCTCGCCCACGTCCAGGGCTCTTTGCTGAGAATAACTGGAGACCCCGTTTGCCTCCCCTCCCCCACATACACAGATATTCCACGCAAAACTGGAGCTCTTCTCCAAGATCTGCCGTGCTCCAAAAGTAGGAGGGGCTGGGCAGAGACCAAGGCGGTCTGTTGTGGTGGCTTCTTGCAACTGAGACATCTGGTGCAGCCAGATGTGGAGTCTTTCTGGCGCAGGGCAAAGATAGTTTTATTTGTTCGAGCCTTCCAGCCTGTCAGCTAGCTTGTTCTCATTCGTCGGGTCTGTTCCTGTGATGCTGGGCTACATTGGTGTTTATTTTATGTTTTTATTAGCCAGTCTGAGATCTGTCAGGGGAAGAGCTGCGTGTACATTTTAAAATGAACACATATGTAAATAAAATAAAATAAAAACAAATCATCCATTCTTTAAAACCTTAGAATTTCTTTAAAGCAGGCCAACATAGTTAACTCAGATTTCATGCAGTTTGAGATACTGTGATCTTTTATTGACTTTGGGCTTAGCTCAAAGGCTAAGTTGTGTGTGTTTCTTCTAGTCCAGATTCTACCTATTCACCCACACCATGGCTAAGAATTGCCTTTAAAACAAATAATCTGAGATTCTCTTAATCCATCTGGAAAACACATTTTTGGCAGCTCAAGGAGCCTGGATTGGGCTCTTATACGCAGAAAGAATTAGAAGCATGAGGCCAGGTTCCAAGATATGCGCCAAGAGAAGCCAGAGGCATTGTTGTTGCAAGAAAAACAGGCAGGCTTGATGTACCTGAAACACCAACCTCAAAAGGATCGCACCGGACGATTTAAAGCTGCAGCACCCAATGAGTGGCAGGTTCCCGCCGCGACTCACCTACTGCAGGGCGAGAGCAATAGAGAAGCGGGGAAGGCTGGTGTCGTGCCACCTGCAGCCCCTGGCCACAACCTCCCCAGAGGGAAAGCATCGGCTCCCTAGAACTTTGAAGGCCCTACCCATGGGAAAGCTCCCCCAGAGCCCCGGGGATACTGGCTGGAAGAGAGCCAGCCGTCTCTCGAGAACCCCCCGGGAAGATCGCCAGCCCCCTGTTAAGGTTATGTGCCATCAGGTCACCTCCGGCTCATGGGAATCCTGGGAAGGAAAGCACTCCTGCTTAGCTGTCCTGAAGTCAGGGCTGCGGCATCCTTTACGGAGCCAGCCCATCTCCCGTCCAGTCTGCCTTTTTTCCAGTGCCTTCAGCTTTCCCTGGCAGGCTTATCTTCTCCAGGGGGCCTGGCCTTCTCAGGAGGTGTCCAACGGATCAGGGCCGCACTTCTGTCGTTTTGGCTTCTGGGGAAAGCTCTGCCTTGACTTGCTGGGCCGGCGTATTTGCACAGCTCCATTTGGCGCTGTGCTGCAAACACACCCCTTCCTTCCTCGCAGCTTTCTGCACCCTCCTGACAAATGAAAACAAGCTGCTAAGAGGCTGGGGAGTCTGAGCAAGCAAAGCGTTCCCTGCCCTGCACCAGAAACACCCTGCCGTGTTTCCCCCCGACGACACCCTGGGGTGGAAAGACACCCTGGCCCTTGGCACCTCCCCAGCTCTGCTGCCGGTCTTAAGCTGCTCACCGCCGGGGAAAAGCAGGACCGCAGCCTGCTGCTGTTTGGCCCCTCACCATTTTCTCAAGAGCCACAGAACTCGTTTGGCGATCATCTTGTCCTGCCAGACAAGCTATTATTTGTCCTTGAGGTGCAACTGCAAATGATTAGCAAGTGAGCTAACCTGCTGTTGGGAACTTTCCCATCCAAACACTCAGGCAGTCAAGTCAGCCGAGAGAGCCTCGTCCACTTTCCCCCATCTGGAGGGCAGCTGTCATCGCCCCCAACCTGGGCAGCGGCCCAGCGGCTCCTCCCCACAGCCTGACCAGGCCAGCTTCCAAAGTTCACTTATGTAACTCTATCCCAAAGGGGCTGTTTACAGCAGCCAACGGACTTCCTCCTGCCCCGTTTTGCCCGGTATCCATCCTGGACAGGGCTGCACGCTCATCACTTCAGACAACACGTTCGTGGAATCGCTGCCGAGCGCACCAGGGCTTGCAAAGTGAGGTAAGAAGGGGCAGCCGGGCAGCCTTGCCGTGTGGACGAGTCCAGGTATTGGCAAGCGGGACCTCCCTGCTTAGAAGTCCATGCATGTGGGCTGGGGACTTACTTCTTGCCCTGGCCTCTCTGGCCCCTTTTCCCGGCGCGCGTTGCCAGCCAAGGGCTGGGCTTGCCCAGCGACTGGGCAGAAACGGTTGGGGTCGCCGCTTGAGCCTTAACAGCCATTCCCTGTGCAAGGAGCGGTTGGCCAAGCTTCCCATGGCATGAAAATCAGCACAACCTGCATGTGAACATCCGCTTCAAAGCACAGCCCGGCTTCGACATGCGTCAAAGCGTGTTGGGCACCTTCAGACGAACAAGGGAGGTTTCTCTCCTGGTGGATCACCCAGATTTTTAAAAATCCTGAAATTTGCTGCCTTCAGAGCAATTAACCAGATAAAGCCTTTCTTAGCATACAGATAAACAGGTTTATTTTGATTTCTGTGTGTCCGGCTGCTGCGAAGAACCCAAGAAAAGGCAGTAAGAGTTTCCTGCCCTCGCACCGTGTCCTTCCATGGGGGGCTGAAATGAACCTGGCTGCTTATCTCACTCCTGAGGAAAGGGCTGGTAAACTAGGGTTAGATTTTGGTCAGAGTTTGACTTCTTGGCGTAGCTATAGGGCGGTGATCTTGGGGGACAAAGTCCTTGTGGATTTGGGAAAGGGGGAGCCACTGGCTCTCCCGCATCCCTGGAAGTGGTGCTCTTTATCTTGGAGGCCTCATCTGCCTACCATGCCCAGGTGTGCAGTGGCTGCACCAGTTCCTGAGAATGCCACTACTCTGCACATACTCAGGGGAACTTTGTTCTTTATCTCACATCTTCTTCTAAGGATGAGTCCCGGCAGCAGGCTGAATCCTTGTGGGGTCTGAATGTAGGTGAAGGCGAAAGCTACAAACCCCAACTTCGGCTGTTTTTTCCTCTTATCTTCTTAGGATTACTGTAATGCCACAGTTCTGCTTACTTGGAAAAGCATTACACCAAGTGGAACTTACTTTTGTGTAAGCGTGCACAGGACTGCATGGCGAGGCAGTGCTCTTATCCCTCTCTTCCAGTTCTTAGTCTCTGACGCGCTGCTTCATTTTCGGCCATCAGCCTGTCAGGGCGTGAAGTGTGCTCCCCGGGGTCTCGCATCGTATCTTGGGGCAATTCAGCAGGTTTTCCTCTGTGTTTACCATTAACAGCAAAAGACGCCCCAAGTGAGGCGCTGCTTGTGCCCGCTAAGCTGCGCCCATGCAAAGCCCACTGCGCCCCTCTGGGCCTGGCCTATCGATGGAGATGCAGGTGACAATCGTGCCCCCATGCCGCGGAGGCCGGCTGGGGCCCAAAGCATAGACAGCAGCTTCTAAGGAGCAACCTGCGCCCTCCTGGGATGCCCATCCTTCAATCCCCACACTTAAATTTGTTAGGCAAACTTGTTCAAGGCCAAGGTGGGGAAAGGGGCCCGCCCGAAGCCAATTTCCATTTCTGGGAAAACCTCGGGAGCCGAATCCGGGTAGTGGGTGCAGCTCAAGGAAAAGTGGGCAGGCCGGAAGATACGATTTGTGTCTCGCTGCCCCAGCTGGGAAATATCCAGCTGCTCACTCATAAAAGCGGCCAAGCACACGCAAGACGTCCGCCTCTGCAGCCCTTTGCCGAGGAACCCCCCAAATGCCGCCGTGGCCCCAGCAAACAAAGCTCTCGCTCCCCTCCCCAGTTCAGGGAAGTTCTCCCCGTGGTGCGTGCGGAGAGTTTTGCGATTCTGCAATTCACTGGCCAGGACCTGAGAGACCCCAGCCAGCGAGGGCCCCGAAGGGAGGAGCAAAAGTCAGAAAGAGGCTGAACAAGAGGCGCCCCGATGGACTGAGGAAAGACCGACGAACTCTGAGTGGGAGAGCAGAGCAGTGGGGGGAAGAGCGCCGGAAACATGGAGGGAGGTTAAGAAGAGGATGGGGCAAACCTGGCTGCGGGGCTCCCCCAGTGGGCACCGAGGATGCAGGAGATCGGAGGGAGAGGCCAGTGCGGCGGCGGAAGGGGCATGGCCAGCACAGAGGCACTCGCAGGCCCCATGGAGCGCCTGCTGGGCAGGCGGGGCCTGCGAGCTGAGGGGCCCTGTGCTGGCCCCACCTCAGGCTCGCCACCTGCGGAGGCACATGGGGTTCTCTCGCCTTTCTTTACGCTCAAGGCCATGGGTGAGACGGGGCATTTCATAGGCATTCAAGTAAACCTGTGTCACGGATTAGTTGTGCAGTTGTTCTTTCGCATTTTACAGTTCAGTCTTAGAATAATTAGGGTGATGGCCAATGAGTTGGCACCGGAAACCATCGGGTTGATGCACCAGGGCCGACAGGAGGCCCTGTGGACAATCCAGCCGCTCCTTCAGCGCCCTTCTCCGGCCACTGAGGTGGAATCTGCCGGCAACATGACCTGCTCCTTAGGATGACTGAGCCGGAGGGGGCGAATCGAGCATTAAGGGAGCGGTTGGTCCTTTCCAAGGGGATGCTCATCGCGAGCCGCCCATTGCCTACTCGGAGGTGCTGGGGGACGTCGTGTGGGGCCACGTGCCGGCGGTTTCCCATCCGGGCCTGCTGAACAGAATGGTCAGCAAGATTGTTAGAGCAGCAATGAACCGGGAGAGAGAAAGAAGGGTGATTTCGAATGGTGCATTTGCACTCCTCTTCCCGGACGGGTCAGGTCACCCGCACAAGTCACCCAGCACTGCTGCCCACTTCCCACTGGCCTCTGGGCCGGCTCCCCACTGGCCAGTGGCAGCAAAGCCAGGCGCTTGCCCAGGCTGGCCTCGGCAAGCGGGAGCATTTCAGGAAGCAAATATAAATCCAGGCAGGAGCAGACTTGCAAATATGCTAGACTGGATTTAGGGATCTGGCTTTCCTAACTGCACAGGCATCTTGCCAGATTAGAAACAAACATAAACTTACAGGGACACAGAAGAGCCAGAAGGCCATTGGGTCTGACCCCCTGCTCAGTGCAGGACTCCCAGTTAACACACCCCTCCCAGATGCAGCCAGCCAGGTCTCCTGGACGCCCCCCACGTGGGAGAGCCCACACCCTCCCTGAGCCACTGGTTCCATTGCCGTACTGCTCAAACAGTCAGGAAGTTCTTCCTGATGTTCAGCCAGAGCCCGGTTTGGCCCGAGCAGACTTCTTTGTGTTCTGTTTCTCAAAGACTTCTGTGGGAAACAGGGTGGTGAGTTAGACAGATTGTTTGACTATTTCTGTTGTTATGTCTTGTCAAGTAATCTCTGACATTCTGCCCATATGAATGAAAGTGCTCCAAAAAGCCCTGCTGGAGGTTTAGCCTCCTGATAAGCTCCAGCTGGGAGGCCCATGGGAAGAGCTTCTTCCCTTCACTAGAACATGGGTCTTCCTGCTCGCTTGAGACTGTTCCAGTCCCTGCATCTCACCTAAGTCTTGCTCCAGCCAGTTCCTGCTTTGCCTTGCCCTGTCCTGCCCTGCCTTGCTGCCTTACCCTGCTTACCAACTCTCCTGGGTCTCCTGAATGCTACCCAGTTCACCTTGCCTCAGGTACCTGCCCCCTGCTCTGCTGTCTTTCTGGTTCTCAGCCTTTGGCTTGCCCTTTACCCTGCCCTGGCTTTGTTCTGATAGGCACTCCCAGTTCCCGGTTTCGGTCTGTTCCTTGACTGGGACTCCACCTCTGGCTCAAGTTACAGTGTTTAGCAGACCCTGCCCTGCCACAGGTCCTGTTGCCAGAGAGACTTGCGTGCCTTGTTGAAAATACCTTGTACTGGATCCGAGGGAAATTCCCCCTTACATAATAATTTAAGGATGGGCCACTGAATTCTTCTTTTGTATGTACAGCTCACTGAAACTCACTGTCAAAAAGATTTGTCAAGTAGATTAGGTAAAGTATGCGTGGAACAAAGGCACCCATCATTGTGCATGTGGGCAACTTTATTTCTTAATCAATTTCTACCCAACACCCTGGTAATTTTTATTTATTTATTTAAAGAATAGATTTATTTAAAGTACTGAAAACAGGCATAAACATGGCTTAATAATATACTTTTAAAAAAAAACCTGGCACATAATCATCCTGCCAATTAAATTACATTTCCATTTACAAAGTTTTCTTTTACAGAACTTCTGTTCCTTCAAAAGCAAACATTCAACAGGTTGGCTTTCTACAAGTCAAAGCAATAATAAAAAAAGCAGGAACACGCAAACTGACCATAACTCCACCATTTAAATAGAACCCTATCCTCTTATTTGGCCTTGTCTGCAGTATTTATTTATTCATTTATTGTTATCACTGATCATGTTTGCATGCTGCCCCATAACCCAAGGACTCACTGGGCGGCTCCCGCAATTCACATGGCACAACCGCACAGCATACAAATAATAAATAAACCAATACCAGCTAAAACCCACAAACATCCAACTAACATAACGTGCAGAAAAGCGCCCTTTCTCAGGTGCCACAACCAGAATACAGGTGCTCTCGCTCCCAGCAGGATCAGACCAAGCTACACTGAGTCCCCTTCACAAGATTCCCGACACCCAGCTGCCCCAGTGGCTCAGCAGAAGGTATCCGGGGGCTACTGACGGGGCCCCGGCCACCTGGCACCTGTTCACCTCTGCACTGAGGCAGCCTTCCTCGGCTTTCCCGACCGTTGGCCAGACCATCTGGGGCCGCTGGGAGTCGGAGTCCAAAGCATCTGGAGGGTGCCAGGTTGGGGTGCAGTGATTTAGCGCAACCTTTTCATCACACTGCTTTGCCTAAAAGTATTTCGTCTTCCTCCTCCACCCAAGAGACTCCTGAAGTAGGTTAGCAAACAAAGAAAATGGGAAAAGAAGTTGGACTCGAAGTTAAGAAAGCGGCACCTTTTGTGAAATCTCCTGCAACTGGGAGGGTGCCAGAGTTTTTGCAGCAAGCACGCAGTAGAAACTGGGCTCCCCTTAAGCCAAGCTTTCCTTAAGTGCTCCTTAAACCAGGAAAGCTCTGGCCAAGCCAGGTGACATGTCTCAAAGCAGCCTCTCCTTGTTCTGTGCCTCCAGAGACGATGTCCAAGAAAGTGGCCGTCGTGGGAGCCGGCGTGAGCGGCCTGGCCTCTGTCAAATGCTGCCTGGACGAAGGGCTGGAGCCGACCTGCTTCGAGAGGAGCGACGACATCGGCGGGGTGTGGCGGTTCACCGTAAGTCGCGCGGGGCGGGGGGCAAGCCTCAGCCGGGGGACGCGGCTCTTGATTCAAGCAGGAAAGTCATGGAATAAAACTCTTTTTTCCCCTCTGCAAATTCTAAAGACAAGTATTCAACACATCTCCCTGCAAATAATTTCAAGATGGTAACTAAGCAACTAATATTCAGTGCCTTTCTGATCATTCTTATTGCAATATCCTATTATTATTATTATTATTATTATTATTAAAATAACAAAGCAGATTCCAATACATGTGCCAATAGCAGAAGAAAGTGCAGGGCACTGCCTAACCCTGTGCAGTCCAACACAAGCCCATTTGCTTCAGCCGGTTGGCTCCCAGCCGGGCAGAGCAACCCAAACTCCCGCTGTAGGGCATCCAGTGGCAGACTCTCCATGGCTGCCCAAAGCTGGCCAGACCAGGCCAGTCAGAATGGAGCATTCCGGCCTGGCAACCCCTTCCAGAATCCTGCACTCTCCCTCTCCTCCGACCAAGGAAAGGAGATGAGCTCTGGTGTAGTTCGGGGCCCAATCCTGGGGGGAGGCAGACACAGCAGAGGGGCCCGGTCCTGGAACAACCCACTTTGACTCAAACAATCCAGCGTTCCTCCGCCGTATCCCAGGAAAGCTCCATTCCGGGGCCAACTGCTAGCCAGCACATCCGTCCAGTGGGTGTGTGGGTGGGCAGAAGCCCCTCTCAGCAGGGGGGAAGGCCCCCACCCTGCCTTCGGAGCTTCAAGTGGGGTCTCTTGCCAGCGGGAACCTGCCCCTGCAGACGTCCCTGGGACCACTCTCTGGGGGTAGATTCTCCCCCAGAGAGGGGCAGACCCCATCCTGACCCGCCTCAGAGAGCTGGCCCAGGTGCCCAGATTGCACTGCAAGTGGGCCAACAAGCTCCACCCCGGATGCTCTGGATTGCGACACGAGGCGACACTCGGATGCTGCAAAGACCTTATTTTGATAATGAGAAACAGCCCCTGTGCCGGAACTGGCGCAAACCACTCTCCTGCAGGGGAGGGACCGCCACCAGATTTTCTTCAGCCTTCACCAAACCACAGTTCCCATAAGCCTTTGGGGGATGCAGTTGCTTTTCGTAGTTTCTGTTGCTGTTGTTTTAACAGCTCTCAGTCTGGCTGTATCTGATGCACAGGAAGTCACTGTTCTTGTAATTTTAGTATCCTTGCAGAACAAAACAGTCTTTCAGCTCTGAGGCAGACAATGAAAGAATATTTTGCGCTGATGTTCAGCTCCGGTTTCTTATCGCATTTAAAAAATACAACTGAATTAAGAAGCGTCCTTGTTATTGACAGGATGTTGTGGAAGAGGGCAGAGCCAGCCTGTACAAATCACTGATCAGTAACACTTCCAAGGAGATGTCGGGCTTTTCCGACTTTCCATACCCAGAAGATTTTCCAGTCTTTTTACACAATTCCAAGGTACTGGAGTATCTGAGGATGTATGTAAAACATTTTGATCTTCAGAAACATATTCAGTTCAAGGTAAGTGGCACAGTTGAAATCAAAATGTTGTCATGGAAAAAATTTAGAATATTTATACCCAGGGATGTTGGTTTATTATGATTCATACTCAAAGTGTCTGCATCCCAGATGGAGAAAGTATGAGGGCAGGCAAGCAAGCTTGACTTGAAGACCTTTCAAGCAGGCAAGCAAGCTTGACCTTTATACCCTCACTTGTTTTCAAAGATAAATTAGATCTTTTCTATGGGAGGCTGCTAATAATCCATTAATTTGCTTCATCACACAGTTGAGATTTGAGCAGTATACAAAATGCAAATTCACAAGTGAAAAAAGCACTTTCATATATTGATATTCTGACTTTTTCTCCTGGAAGGACCCAAGGTGGCTTACATGGTCCTCCCCCTCCTCACCAGTTTATCCTTGCAACAAACCTGTGAGGAAGTCAGAGACTGGCCCAAAGCCAGCACGAGCTTGGTTGCTGAGCAGGAACCAACGCTGCAGCCTGGATCTCCCAGCCCCCGGCCCAGCGGCCGTGCCCCGGAGGCTCACCGGAGGCTCCAGATCCTTAGATGAAAAAGTGAAATCATGTGTTGCAACCATGCACAATAATGGCCTTGCATAGAAAAACCCGCATTTGCTTCTAATCTGACAAGATGGCTGTGCCCTTGGGAAAGCCAGAGTCCTAAAGCCAGCTGGATGCTTTTGCGAGTCCACTCCTGCTGGATTCATACTCACATCGGTTATTTTCCTGGAATGTTTCAGACCACCGTGATCAGCATAAGGAAGTGTCCCGACTTCCCCACCACTGGCCAGTGGGAAGTTGTGGTCGAGACCAATGGGAAGCAAGAGTGCGCCATCTTTGATGCTGTGATGGTCTGCATCGGTTACCTTACCGATCCTTCCTTGCCGCTCAGCTCTTTCTCTGGTATAGCAGTTCTTGGTTTCCCTTCCGCTTTGCTCCAACACGCACAATCACACAGCGCCTGCATTAGGACTCGCCAGACTATGTCCCAAGGGTGAGCAAGCTCCTGAGTTCACCGAGTTGGCTGCGGAGCAAGGAGGACCAGGGTGGGATGGAGGAGAATGGGCTGGCTGGATGCTGAGGCCTTCGGAGCAGGGGCACATGGAAGGCTGGCGTGTGGAGAGAGAGGCCGCTGCACGCACTGCTCACCCGGCGCTCCCATGCGCCCAGCGTCCAGCTCGACCTTTGTGCATGGAACGCAAGTGCCCGAAAAGGCTGTGCAAGGGCGTTCACAGGGTTCCGCCCTCTTTCTCTCGAGCTCGCTTCAGACCCTTGTGCCGAACATATGAAGAGTGGATTATTTATAGGCAAAGCTGCACTTGTCTGTCTCCAAAGAGCTGCTCCGTCTTGCTGACCGTTTGTCTCGATGACGCGATGTGACTGGGGGCAGGGTGGGGCCAAGTGAGCCAGTCCAGGCCCTTATTCCTGCCGTGGAGTCGCTGCTGCTTGTTAACAGAGTGTCTCACCGGTTGTGCGGGCAAGCCTGCTCCTGGAGCACCGGGGCCTGAGGACGTGCGTGGAGGACAGGGAATGGACCGGGGTCCGGGGTCCTTCCTCCACTGCGGGCTCGGCAAAAGGGCTGTGCTTCGTACCAGGCAAACTGGTTTGGATGGGCAAACTGGGGAACTTTTTCCCGACTTTACCAAATTGCACAGCCCAGCTGGCTCCACCAGGAAATCCGGCTTGCTCGTTCAATAAGGATCCCCTGGTTATCACACTGCATTTACGTCCTGGCCTTTTTCCTCATTGCAGGAATCTAGGCAGCTGGTGGGGCTCCATTTTATCCTCATCACTGAGAAGCTGGTTGGACTGAGAGTTTGCGACTCGGCCAAAGTCACCCCGTCCGCTCCACGGCTGGGTGGGGGCCAGAACCCGGACCCCAGGTCCACCGTTCCGCTCGGCTCTCGTGCGTGGGACTGAGCGACGGCCACTTCAGGGTTCCTTTGGAAGCTCACTGGGGCGTTTCCTCATTTTCCACTTAGGTATAGACAAGTTTAAAGGCCAGTGTTTTCACAGCCGGGAGTACAAGACCCCAGAGGTCTTCAGGGATAAACGGGTGCTCGTGCTCGGCATGGGGAACTCCGGAGTCGATATTGCCGTGGAAGCAACGCAGACGGCAAAAAAGGTACTGCTCCTACAAGCGGCTTCGTGTGTTGGAGCACGGCGCTCAGAGCCCGCTGCTTCGAGGAAGAGGGACCGGATGCCTGCTCACTTGGCCACGGCGTTCCTTGGCAAGAACCCAGGTGCATGAAAACTCAGGTTTCTCTGGCCGGTCGCCTGAAATGTGGCCACCCGCACGCGGTTAAGGGATGGCAGCGCTTCTGCTCCGACTCGCAGCCAGCTCGCTTCCTCACGCCTGGGCCTTCTCTGGGCAGCAACCCTTGCCCTGCCTTGTTCTCCATCGGGGCGGAGTTCGCTGTCTGGGACCAAACTCTTGCTGTGTGGAGCTTCCCATGAGAAGCTTGTCGATCAAGTTTGCTTTTGGATTGCCTTAGATGCAACCTAAATGTCAGCCAAGATCTGGGAAGGTCGTTAACTCACCTGCCGGCCATACTTAGGTGGGTTGGGTGGTTATCACCCAGTTTGGGTGAGCTTGAACTAGAGATGGCCTGAGAACCCGGCACTTTGGGCAGGAACTTACCCAGCTTAAAAGTGTTGTTCCCACCAGATGGACTGGCCAGCATATTCCCCTCGGCATCCTGCATCTTTTCTACCCTTTCCTGGGACTCTTGGTTCTAAGAAAGCTGGAAAAGTACAACTCACCCCTTTTACAGGAGCACAGGTTCTTCACAGGGATATGCACACGCACACGAGTCTGTCACGCACGCACGCACACACCCCATTAGCCCTGTCAAAATGCCTGGTTTAAAGGGAAGCCTGAGCTTCGGCAGCTCTCCAGGTGCCGTGCACCCGTGACAGTGGCGGGTCTCACTTTCCTGCCTCCTCTGGCACCGAAGTCTTGGGAAAGGATGAACAAGGGGCAGGAGGCTGAGAAATTTCAGGCTCTCGCCATGGAGGGAAGGTCTATCCGGGGGGAGGTGGGCGAGTCCCAGCGCAAAGGGGCCCAAGCGGGCTTGTGGGGGATGCCGAGCGAGGGACAGCTGTTCCACCACGCCATGGGGCACTGGCATGGGGGGCGGGCGTCAAGAGCAGCAAGCTGGGCAGATCTGGGGCAAGAGTGGCTTGCTCGCCGCTTCCCTGGACCCATAACGGGGTCTGTCACCCAGGTTCAGGCAGCATGACAAGCTGCCATGGGTTCAACAAGTGCTCCTGAAAGTCACGGCTTCTTGGGGTAGCCTGAGGTCCTCAGATGAACAGCCCGCAGGAAGCAGGTGTGGTTCCACAACACCAGAGCCCATGTGGCTCCTCGCCCGCGATGGTCGCTCTGCTCCTGCGCCTGCACCAGGTGGCCGAGCAGGTGGGAGCCGAGGTCCGGCAGCATCTCGAGCTCCGCAGGATGCGCACCCCTGCCTTAGTTTGCCGGCGGGCCTGCTCTCTGGGCTCAGCCCGGGAGCCGCAAGCGCGGGCGCAGGGGAGGAGGCGCTCCAGGCGTGAGCCGTGCAGCCATGTGGCCTGCATCTGCCGCTGCCGGCCACGGATCGCCGCGAGGATGCGGCTGTACTTTGGCGGCCTTCTCTCTTCTAGGTGATGATCAGCACCGGCAGGGGAGCCTGGGTGCTGAGCCGCGTCTTTGACCACGGGTACCCGTGGGACATGGTGTTCCTCACCCGCTTTATGAACGTCGTCCGGAACAGCCTTCCCGGGCGCATCACGACATGGCTCATTGCAAGCCGAGTGAACCAGTGGTTTAACCACGCAAACTATGGCATGGCTCCAAAAGACAGGTATTTGGTGGACGCCGGTGCTGGAGGGGGAAGCGACCAGGGAAGGCGAGCACTGAGCGTGCTGGAAGGGGGAGGAGACGTGCGTGGAGAGTCTGCAAGCCTCCACGGGGAGGCGCTGTTGGACTGAGCCTGGAAGAAGCGGCTTATGCACTCGCACCAAGCGGGGGCAAGGAGTTTTGGTGCCTCCGCCAGGAACCCCTCCCCGCCCCCCAGTTAGCGCAGAACGCCACCAGGTTGTTCTGCTGCATAAGCGTCCTTTATCTGACTGGGAGCTCTTGCAATGAGGCTGGGCAAAGAAGGGCCAGGTATGGGCCACCTGGTCCGGCACCCTTCACGACGCCCCGAATCGGCCTCCAGAGCCCCCGGGCTCCCTCGCCAAGTGGCCGCGCAGCTCGGTCTTTAGGCGAAAGCACAGCATTCGCCTGCAGGGCGACGCGGGCAGGTGGGCAGGCCCCCGGGACAGGCTGTCCACGTGCTAAATGGCGGCCCTGGAGAAGAGGGTTTCCTCTCACCCAGCCTCTCACCAGACCCTCGGTGACCGCGAAGGAGAGCACCGGGGGTGCTTTGCAGAGGCGCGGCTCCGCATTCGCCCCACTCAGTGGAACGGGGTGCACAGGGTGCAGAGAGGGTGGAGAGGGTCTTTCTTCTCGGGCCGTACCAGCACACAAGCTTACCCCACTGAATGGATGACCAGGAGACTTGGGACCAAAAGGAAGTTCTGCAAATGAAACCCACCCGAGGACGTGCCTCTTGTCTCGTCCGCCAAGGTAATCCGCCACCGGTGCCGCAAGTTGCGAGGTGAACGCGCCTAGGCAGCTCGCAGAGGAGAGGTTCAGCGGTGCCCCTGGCCAGGCATGCCGGGATCTTGGAATTCTGTGTGCTGGAGAGGACCGAGGAGCACTCTTGCTCTCATCCGTGCTGGCGAGCTCCTCGGAGCCCTCTGACCGGCCACCGCTGGCAGCAAGACACCGGGAGGGTCTGCACAGGACAACAAGCCCCGCCGCGCAGAAGCGACTCGAGTGGCTTGCTTGCCCCCGGCCCACAAAGCGCCTGACAGGAGTCAAAGGCTCCCCCGCTCAGTCTTCCCACAGGAAATGGGAGCGCCGCCACTTCGGCCTGCCAATCGCCCACCGCTGCACAGAGCCGAGCGGCCCGGCCACAGCAGGGGGAGCCTCTTCCCCACGGCCTCCTGAAACCAAACGGGGGATTGCAGGGTGCACGCAGGCCTTCCCTGCCGGGACTTGCGCACCACAGGTGGCGAGGGCGGCACATCCGCCCAGGGCTCCTCCTCCAAGGCGTGTGGCCGAGGGGCAAGGCCCCCTGCAGCACCTGTCCTGCCAAGCGAGGCATGCGGATCGTGGAGGCCCGCCAGGGCTGGTAGCCTCACCCGGCAGGCCCGGGAGCAGCTCTGAAATCCCGCAGTGAGCCAGGCGGTGGGGTGGCTTTGGAGTGGAGATGAAGCCGCCCGGGCAGCGGGGCAGGGGGCTGCGGCAACACTGCGGTGGCTCAGCCGGTTGAACACACCCAAGGCCAGTGGGCATGTCGAGAGCGGAGCCGGCTGGAGCCGGGGGCCAGGCTAGATGGCCCGGGAGGCTCCTTCTGACTCGCTCTGTTCCTGCGTGTGTTTCTATGTTTCTCTTGTGGGGCACACCTGAAGGACCGGAGGGGGAATGAGAGGCGGGGTGGGAAGGCGGCCGGGGCCTGCTTCCACCCCTCTCCTTTGTGACATCAGCTTGGAGCACTGCCTCTCCTTTGCCCGCCCGCCCGCCGCCCCCCATCCCCAGCCCGGCCCGGCTTATTAATCGGCGCGCTCGTGGGTCCTTCCCTGCAGGGCCATGCTAAGAGAGCCCGTGATAAACGACGACCTGCCGGTGTGCATCCTCACCGGGAAGATCAGCATCAGGCCCAGCGTGAGGGAGTTCGAGGAAAACTCGGTCACGTTTGCAGACACTCCTGGGGCAGAGCAGGTGGACGTGGTTGTCCTTGGGACCGGGTACAAAGCTTCGCTCCCCTTCCTAGACGAGTCGATCGTCACGGTGGAAAATAACTATGCTCCGTTGTACAAATACATCTTCCCGCCTCAGCTGGAGAAACCGACGCTTGCCGTCATCGGCTTCCTCCGGCCCTTCGGGGCGGTCATGCCGGTTGTGGAGATGCAGGCTCGCTGGGCCACACGCGTCTTCAAGGGTAGGTGGGAGGAGAATCGGGCGGGCAGCGCAGGCCCCCTTGAGACGGCCCTGTCCTTAGAGGCAGCCTGCAAATCGCTTGGGGCAGGCGGGCAGCCAGTTCTCCAGGACAGTGGAAGGAGCTGCTGGCAGGTAGACCTCTGCTGCCCGGCAGAGCAAACGCCCGGCAGGGGTTGGGACTTATGGGGTCAGCGGCCCATTCCTACAAGGAGGATTTCTGTGCTTATTTCCCCTAATAGATGCACTTTTCCCAAAATGCATAAATCGATTTATGGAATCTTTTACATTTGTGACCTCATAGGAAAGTCCAGAAAGTACACATACCACTGTAGGACAACATTCTGGTTTGGGAGCATGTCCAGGAATGGCAGGTTTCGTAAATTCGTGGTTAAACTGCGAATCCGGTTAATTTCTCCCATGTCCTTATTTAAGAACAAGGAAGCTGCGCGGATGGGCTGGGAGGCTCATGACAGAGAGCAGAGGGGAGGGACTGGGCCCAGCTTGGGCTCCCAGCTGCCTCGGGGGAAGGTTGTCCAAGAGAGCCGGGCGCAGAAATCAGACGAGCGACTTGCCGCAGCTTAGCAGGAAACAGGAAACAAGTGCAAATCCAAGCCTTTCCAGGGAAATCGCCTCTGCTCTGCCCGGCGCCATGGACGCAGCCCGCTCCTTTGTGGCTCCTCATACCTGAAGCACCCACCAAGCAGAGGCTGATGCTCGCTCATAGCCGGGGAGGGGCCGCTCCTCCCCACGGAGACCGCCTTCCCCTAACGATCTGCAGGCTGCCGCTTTTCTTGTGTGTCCTTTTGAACACCAGCAGAGATTCCCTCCTTCTTCCCAGGCCTGTGCAAGTTGCCTCCTGCCGACGTGATGGTGAAGGAAGCCCACGAAAAGAAGAAGAACCCCGTCAAGTGGTGAGCACCCTCCCACCACCAAGGCCACACTAAGCCGGTCCTTAGCAGCTGTAAGGATACGCATGCTGGGGTTGCCAACTGACCAGGAAGACTTTGCTCCTATGCCTTCAAGTGTGTTGGGATGGATAGGGGCAGTTACTCTTGGCATGCATGCCCAGGGCACACTGGTCTGGACTTGGAGGGGGAGGAGGAGGAGGAGGAGGAGGAGGAGTGGGGGAGGCCTCAGAATGGAGGCCCATTCCAGATGCCGAGGTGAGAGAAGCGGAGGCACTCGCCTCACGGCTGGGCCCGGCAGCCTCGGAGAACAACCAAGACGTGCGGCTACTGGGAGGCGGCTTGCAACAGGAGTTTCTCAGAGCCAGGCGACGCGGGAACGGCTCTTGCCCCCCGGGGGGCCCAGTTAGAGGACCGGAGTGCAGAGGGGAGGTGTCCTCGTTTCCAAAAGGCCCCTCCCAAAAGGAGGGGCCCAAACATACCCATGAGGAGAGTGCCTAGAAGGGAATGCTGGACTGGGTTCAAGAAACCACTCTGTGCATGCTCAGAGACTCTTGCTGGGTATTTGCGCTTCTGGAAAGCTTGGGCCCAGAAAGCCCATTTTGCGAGAAAGCTCTGTGTCCTGACTGTGTGGAGAGGAGCCCCACGGCGCAAGGCTCCCCAGCCAGCGTCAGGGTGTAGGTCAGCTCCCGGGGGCGCTTGGCAGCAGAGAAGAGGCGTGCGCGGGGCTGGCGGCTTTGGCGGATCCCACTGCTGCTGCCAACCCAAGCTCAGGGTCAGGGCTGGGAGCCACGAGGCAGGCGCAGGCAAGTAGTGAAGCTGCACACACAGCCAGTCATCCAAGGGATGGAACGAGGTAACCCCAGGAGCGGATCCCCCTCGTCTCTCTCTCGCTTGGCAGGCGGGTCTTTGGCAAAAGCACTGACATTCCAGGGCAGATCCAGCAAGCTATTTGCCAACAAAGGAAGAGTTCTGGGCTTGAACCCGAACTACAGACTATTTTGGGTAGCCCTGGGGTGGCCCCTCTGGAGAGGGGCAAGCCTCCTAGCTCGACACTGGCCCTCGCTCTTCTGCCCCAGTAGCACCTCGGGGTAAAGGATACCACTAGGTTCTTCCGGCTCCTCTCCCGTGCCCCTCCTGGCCCCTCCAAACCCTACTGATTCCCAGAGTCTGCCTGAACACCTGGGGATGGTGGCTTTGAGATAAGCTCCTGCACAGCTCTGGGTCTGCAAAGCTCCTTTCCCAGGCCCCAGCATCCTCATCCAAAGAGTCCGTGTCCCCCTGGCCCCGGAAAGCAGGCCAGGAAGAGCAGCCTCTCGCTTTCCCCACAGCAGCCTTTGAAGTCTCCTCTGGACCCCTGGACTTTCTAAGGCGAGGCGCCGTAGCTGCTCTGCTCTGCTCTGCCTGCAGAAGGTCAGGAGGACGAGGCTGGTTTTAAAGCCGCTTGGAGAGCCTGGAGAGGTTCCTCGTGTTCTGCCTGAGGTTCCTCATGAGAACTAACAAGGCTCGGCTGGATGGTTCCCCTTTATCAAGCCCTTTGAAACCAGCATCGGCAATGACCGGGTTGTGAGTGGCTGATTTCCCTGCATCCAGGACAGAATTTTCACTGCGGCTTCTTCCATTTCACTTCCCAGTCAGTCGTCTTATTCCATCCCTCCCCCTCCTTTTCCGCTGTTTGATTAAGGTTTGGCTTCTCCTTCGATGAGCCCCTCAAAACGGATTGCTTGGTCTACGTGGATGAGCTTGCCTCCGCGATCGGCGTGAAGCCCAGTGTCCCGGCAGTCCTGCTGAAAGATCCAGAACTGGGCATGAAGATTTTCTTTGGGCCGTGCTCCTCCTACCAGTTCCGTCTGTTTGGACCGGGAAAGTGGGACGGAGCCAGAAGCGCCATCATGAGCCAGTGGGAAAAAATCATAAAGCCAACAAGAACCCGAATTGTAGACGAGTCTTCGGGCTTCCTTGCGTTTCTGCTGAAAATGCTTGCGATATTTGCTGTTTTTCTTGGAATTTTCCTCCATTTCATGTAGTTCTGTCAGATCCACAGCAGTCTCCACCGTGAGCTTTTCCATAGGAGGCCTTGACACGCACCTGCTGTTCCTTACTCACCGCTGTTTACGGGCTCTTTTGGCGACATGGTGATCCTCCAGTTTAATTGCTCTTTCCAGAGCACAGCCCCTCAGGTTATTCGAATGGGGAAAATGCTGTGTTATTTCTGAAAGTTGTTTCTGCTTGTGCATTTGTGTTATTCCACTATAGGACATTGTCATCTGGGGATTACACACTGAAAACACAGGGAAGGAAAGCAGTTTTGGGCAGAGTGCAGTTCTCAGTTCCGCAACAAAACCAAAAATAGATACACAGACTAACAGACACAGAGAAAAACTTGGTATCTTGCTGAACAGATGTTTCAGATTCTACCACACAGGAAGAGAAAGAAGAAAGGGTCCTCTTCACAAAATTATGTGCATAGACAGATTTTTTTCTTTTTGTCTCTAAGTTTCAAAAGAGATGGAAGAGCAGGCATTTGACACCAATACCTGGGGAAACCGATCTGCAACCCATTTCTAAATTTGAAAATTGATCGCAAATCCAAACACCAGGTATTATATTTGTCACTGTAATTAAAATAGGGGGTGGGGGGGGTTGGTTGGTTGGAGAGCCAGTGCAAGAGCTTCAGGGAGCAACTGCAGGGACATGGGTTCAAGTCCCAGTTCAGTCTTGGCCCCACCTTCTGGCCTGAACAGAAAGAGGTCAGAGGCCAAAAGCGCTCTGCACAGGGGCCTTTTTTGGAAAAGAACAAAGCAGTTGTGCCTTATTTTCGAAGCAGAATCTGATTGCTCTGTGGGGTTCAGTCCACCAGCTCTGAAATGGATTTAGTCTAAGCACCCACAAACTGATACGAATGTGCAGCACCAGGCACCCTGTGGCACCTTGGGTGTGCGCCAACCCCTCGAGGAGGGGGCTGCGGCGGCAGCAACTACGCTCTGCTTCCCTGGTCTGCCTTCCACAAACAGGTTTCAGCAGCGAAGCGCTTTGATTTTACGGACTGAGACTCCACCGCGCTTCTTTGGGTGCCGCTTCCACCTGCATTCAGAAGGCCTGATGAAGACTTGTTAATAAAGATCCATCTTTACTGGACTGGCACTGGTGTAAACTGGGCATGGCTCGTTCAGAATAAGAGAAATACCTGTTGGAAATGAACCAGAAAAAGCTGGAAGCTGCGCTAGTGAGTTTTAAATCACTGTTTTATTGTCTCTTACTAAATTCCTTTTATAAACATCTTCTTTCAAGCCAGATCTGAGGTTTTGTGGTAAGTTTCTGACTATCCTGAGAACGCTTTGTTTGCTCACGCGCGCGCGCGCGCGCGCGCTCTCTCTCTCTCTCTCTCTCTCTCTCTCTCTCTCTCTCTCTCTCTCTCTCGACGTGCACAGAGAGAGAGAGAGAGCCCAATGTATGAGTTGTATTCCTGTGCTTTAAGCAGCAGGGAAATTAAAGAGGATGGGCCAGGATCTGGCCAGCTGAAGAAGGGGCGCATGGCTGGCAGTTCTCCTTCCACCTGAGGAAAGGTGCCTCCTTTTGGGAAAAGCACGATCCCTCCTTGCTAGCAGGCCATGCGGGAGCGCTACCCACAAGGGGGATGCGTTGCCGGCATGCTGCGGCTCTGCAAGGTATTGTACAACAATTATGGAGCACAACTAGCCTTCAGGGATCACATGCCTCTGAACATGGAGGTTCTGTCCAGCTGTCATAGCCAAACGCCACTGGCCGAGTGTGCGGAGAAGCACGTCCTCCCATCTCGCTTGCATCGGGCACCAATCAGCTGGCAGGGCGACCTCGGCATCCAGGCTTAGGCAAGAGAAAACTCTCTCACACACACTTTCTCCGGATTTCCCTTGCGTCTTATTTTATTCTTACTGCCTTACTTGTCTTGCTCCCACAAGGCTCCCAGAGCCAAGCCAAATTTCTGAATTTAAACCAGCAGAAGTATCAAAAGTGGCAAAACATGCAGAAGCAAGCATGCTAGTGATTAAAAAATCAACTAAGCTTCCGGGAAGTAAAATCTCACCTCATGGCACAGAAAAACAGCCCCGGAGCCCCCTTCATCTGGTGGAGCATCGTAGCAGAAGCAGCTCGTGGTGGTGGGCTGCCTTGGGCTCCCCCCCCCCCCCACTTGCAACCAAGCAGGCAGCCAGTGCTCATGAGCTCCCTGGCGGCTGTAGGACTCCTCCACCAGCTCCCCTGGCTCTTGGGAAGGGTCTTCTGTGGAGAGGATAAAGGGGGCAGGCCAGGGGTGAGGCTCCCATTGATTCCTCCCAGTGCCCCATCCTCCTCTCCTCCCCCTGGCCATGCTTTATCTACACTCTGCTGTGGAGGCAATTGGATTGCGCCCGAGGATCTTTCCCACTTATGAACCATTTGCAATGGTGTTGGAGTAAGTCGACACGGCAGGAAGTGAATCAAGAAAAATGTTTACTCTGCGGCAACAGCGCGAAGACAGGCGTTGGCTGCCGCAATCCGTGGTTTCCCAGCTGCAGAGCGACAGGATGTCATTTGGACAACCGGGCCCTTGTCGAGTCCTCGGAAGGGTGTGCGAAATGGACTCGCTCGCGCTTCCTCGTGAGTGAGCCCCCAGTCTGCAGCTCGATGGGCACGGGTGTAAATCCACTGGGAAGGGCAGCCCTGGAGGCGCCTCCTTGCCAGGGCGGGTGGTCCTGGGCCGCCTGAGAGAAGTGGGGGCAAGACCACTCCCAAAGAAGCCCTCCCTGGGGTCCTCTTCACTGTGCGCCTCAGCAAAGCCCCTTCCCCTCTCTCTGCGTTCTTGCTAAGCTGCCCGCAGGTGGGAAACCCTGTGGGCCCACTGAGCACACTTAGTTCGAAGCAAGCCCCAAAGGCGCCCGAGGCATTCGCACAGGACAGATCGAAAGGCCCTGAACGAACGAACGAACGAACGGAGGAGGAGCCAGCGAGGGCGGCCCGCCACACAGCAGAGGCACTCGGTTTCCTTTTGCCAGGAGAAGGGGAGGCTGCGCAGGCGCAAACGCCTCCGCTTAGGGGCCACTTCTGGCTGAAGCTGCAACTTGCTTCTCATAAGCTCTTTCCTCTTAATGGGGATTTCTCATTCGGGCACTCAGCCAAAGGCTATGGGTGGCATCTTCATCATCATCATCGTCATCATCCTCATCCCATGTTTATCTTTCCTTCCTTCTCCAAGGAACCCCAAGGTGGTGTGCATGATCCTCCTCCTCACTTTGCCCGCACAACAACCCTGTGAGGTAAAGTTGGGCTGAGTGCAGCGTCTCAGGGCCACGTGTGGTTTGCACACTTTGGCTCATAATCGAAATGGGGATTCATTCTTCAAGCATTTTAAGGTTTTTTTGTTTCATGCCCAAACATGAGGGTTCCTGCTAGGTTAACAAACATAATAGCATGTTCATGTGCCTGCCCTCATTTCGCATACTTGCTGTGTCGCAATCCTCCCTTAACAGCAAGCACTGAGAAAGTGTTCCTGGAAGGGAAAGACACCAAGCCAGGAATAGGAATGGAAATGGGAAGGACTGGGAGTCCCCCGGTGTACACCAGATCTGAAACAGCACTTCATGTTGGCGCAACAGACATCGTTGCTGGTAAACGAGTCTCGGAGATTCCACAGAGCTGGGAAATGCCAGCTTATGATGCAACGCCCCCATGATTTGCAAGAAGCACAAATGCCACGGCATGACACTGACCTTTGGGTGGAGGCGGCCTCTCTAGCAAGTCAGCCGGTTCCTTCGGCGGCCCGTGTGCCGCAAAAGCTCTTCCCCGGACATGGTGCGGAGGGTGGCCGTCGTGGGAGCCGGCGTGAGCGGCCTGGCCTCCGTCAAATGCTGCCTGGACGAAGGGCTGGAGCCGACCTGCTTCGAGAGGAGCGACGGCATCGGCGGGGTGTGGCGGTTCACCGTAAGTGGCATGAACTCACTTTAAAACCCGAAAGGTGGCGGCAACGGGGGGGGGGGGGCGCTATAATCCTTGCGCAAAAGGAGGAGTGGGAACTTTGTTCTGCAAGCCTTCTGCTGGATGCCTCAGGGCGCTGCTAATCCCAGTTGCAGCTGTCCTGCCATTTCTTCCTTGGTAGAGCCTTTCCTGGAGAGTAGAAAGAAGGAAGAAGCGCTGGGAAAATGCAGGAGAGTTGCAAGGGGAAGAGGGCAAAGGCTGGACAGGCGCTGCATTCCCCGAACGAGGCGGGTGCTTGGGAACGGGGGCCAAAGGCTTTCCCCGAAATGCTCCTGCGAAGCACCAGCTGGCACAGCACAGCTGAGGCATCTCAATGCTTGGACAGGAGTTAGAAACCGGGGGGGGGGGGGGGGGGTGGCATTTCGGGAGAAGATTGGCCTGTACAGGAGGGAAGGGCTCCACTTGAACCCGAACAGAACCAGAATGCTGGCACTGGGAGAACGGCAGCAGGTGCAAGATGCTTCCGATTCAAGCGAAACCAGCCCTAGTGGATGAAGAGGGAGCGCTTCTGGTTGCCCGGATGTCAGAGAAAATTAGTTGCACATTTATGGCAGGACAGGATAATGAGTCAGAGAAGACCCAGTGCCCAGACCATAAGGTACACACATCTGGGGAGGGGTGCTCAGCTTCGGTGTTTTTATGCCCCTGCTGGGAGCCCCAGGGCCAAAACACGGGAGCTGGAATGCCTGGTTGTAGAGGAGAAGCTGGACAGAATGGACGTTACGGAAGCCTCGTGGAATGGAGAACAGTGGTGGCGTACGGTCCTTTCTGGATTGAAAACCCTGCAGGAAGGCCAGGAAAGGGCTCGCTGGAGGCAGCGTTGCCCTCCATGTGAAATTGGGCACAGAGTCCAGAAGACCTGGTCCTCTGTGGTGCGAAGACTTCCGCAGAAGCAGCAGGGTGGCCATTCCTGGCTCCAGGACTAACTTAGTCACAGAAATATGCTGCTGCCCCCTGAACCAGAGGGCTCGGGGGCAGGCACCAGAGAAAGGGGTGCCGTGACCCCGGGGAGCTTCAGCGACCCACACCTTGCTGGATAAACAGATATTCCAGCCTGACAGGCTCGGTTGCTCAGTGTCCTAAAGGACTGCCCTGGAGCAGTTGGTCTTGGAGCCATCCAAAGAGGAAGCATTCCTACATTTAACCCTAGGCAGGGCTGCCCAGGACGGGATGCAAGTGTTGAATCAATTGGAAACAGCGACCATGGTGCTATCGGAGGTGATACATGGTAGGGGTGGTACGAACGCTTCCAGAATCTGTCCCTCCAACAACCACAGACTCCTCTCATGTTCAGCCCCAGTCCTGCAAAATGAGCCGAGCCAAGAGGAAAGCTGCAGGTGTGCACGGACCCTGGCTGCACCACCAGCAACCTTCTCCGTCAGGTGTGGCCCCTCAAAAAGCAGCTCCAGGGCGTGGGCATCACGACCCTGCTCCAAGTGGCCATGGCATTTGTTGTATTCCACGCATTTATTGCAAGCCATCCCGAGACGTTTGTAGTCGACGGGTTAGAAAAGCTTTTAATAAAGAAAACAAAACAAATACATACGTTCTTGGAAGCTTCTGTGTGTGCTTATTTGAAACCCAGGATTTATTTAGTTTATTCATTTATTTGAGGCTTTTATACCCCGCCCTTCACAATGTCTCAGGGTGCCGATACAATAAATAAATAGGATACAGCATCAAAAAATTACAATAAATAAATAAAATCCAATCTTAAAACACTATTAATATTTAAGATAATGGGAAAATTAAAAGGGGTTGGCCTGGCACTGAAATGAAAAAAATCCTTTTCAGAATCCTTTCTATTTCCTTTAAGTATGGTATTTACATGAAGGTTGGGCAGTTCACAAGGATAAACTAGCAACATACAAAATCATAAAATGCAAGATCATAAAAACACCCTTTGCACATAAAAATGGTCAAAAGTGAGAGAGGGAAAACCAGTTTCGCAGCTTGGCTAAAAATGCACGGCACACAAGCAGTGCAGATATTCAAAAGGGGTGAACATGTTTTCATTTTGCTTTGTAACTGCTACGTTTGGACAGGAAATTCCAGAAAAGGGGAGGACCAGCGTTTACAGATCGGTGATAACCAACACCTCCAAAGAAATGACCTGTTTCAGCGACTTCCCGTTCCCGGAGGATTGGCCCAACTATATGCATCACTCTTCGCTCCTGCAGTACCTCAAGGACTACGCTGAGCAATTCCACCTCCTGGACCATATCCATTTCCAGGTGAGGGGGAAGCAGACAGGTGTTCTGCAAGGATCACAGCAGGACAATCCCCCAGCTCTGGCAAATCTTTCCCGTGCTTACGCGGAGCAGGAGTGTCCCCCTCTTCCTCTGTTTGGTCACAGCTGCGGTTTCACTGGCATCGTGCATGCATAATCGTGCCGGACAAATTTGTAAATTCTCAGGTAAAAGTGTAGGACGCTTCCCGGAAAGGGCAGCCTCGTGCAGAGCACACTGCAGAAATCTATTTCTCGCATTACTTGCTGCTGCTGCTTTAAAGGTACCTGTATCTTAAGATGCAGGTACGCCCACGTAGTGGAGGAGAGGTCACGAACGCAACAGTGCCAGGCAGAAAGGTGCTTTGGGCAGGAATTCAGTCCAGTTGCAGACTCACTGAACAGGAAATAAAAATGTTGATTGACTCTTTTGACCTTGTACTTTCACCACTCCTTTTTTTAATAAGCTTTATTTGAGAAATTATAATCCTAAAAAACAAAAAGAAAACTACAAACAACATCCATCATCAAAAACATTGAGCCCACTGGGTCAGCCCCCACACCCTTCTTTTTCCGTTTATGATGACTTAAAAACATATTTAAATCTATGCAAAGTCCCGTTTCTCTAGCCAATAATAAAGAGTCCCAAGTTTGATAGAAGTCAGTATCTTCCTTCTCCTTCAATGATAAAGTCAATCTATCCATTTCTACACAGTTCAGGATCTTTTTTAGAATCAGTTCGTAGGTGGGTGGTTCTTCACTTTTCCAGTGTTGAGCGAATGCAATCCTCGCCGCAGTGATTACATGCAAAATCAAATACATTTCTTGTTTACTAATGTCCTCCAGCATAATACCTAATAAAAAAAACTTCAAGTTTAAAAGCTAAGGATTTTTGTAACATTTCCTCGAGCCATTTATGTATTTTAATCCAATACTTTTTCACGTTATCGCAAGTCCCCCACATATGATAAAAAGTACCCAATTTATATTTACATTTCCAACATCCATTTGACATATTTGGAAACATCTTAGCTAATCTATTTGGCGACAGACGCCATCTATAAAACATTTTATACAAGTTTTCTTTGTATGAAGTTGCTAATGTTACCTTAACATTTCTCTCCCACAGCTTTTGTCACTGTTCCAATTCAATATTATATCCAAAATTTTGTTCCCACGTTATCATAGTTTCCTTAACCTGTTCGTCTTCTATTTTCCTATCAAGTAAGAAGTCATATAATCTTCTAATCATTTTCTCATCTGATTTAAGCATCACTTGATCCAACGCTGTTAAGTCCTTATAAAAACCCCACACTTTACAATCTTCAGCATATCTCGATTGCATCTGCACCTTATGCCAACAAGAGATATCAGCTCCGTTCTTGTGTTTCTTGATTCAACTTCAGTCCTCCATCCTTATCCAAAATGTCATCATATCTTATAATCCCAATGCATTTGGATTCACAAAAGCTTCCATGGGCGAAAGCCATCTTGGTAATTTATTATAGAGTTTTATCTTTAACTTTTCCCACACCAACATTAATGATTTTCTAATATAGTGACTTAGTAAAGAGCCATGTGACTTAGCCTTCTCATACCACACGCAAGCGTGCCAGCCCATTTGCAAATCATGCCCTTCAAGATACAAAATTCTCTTATTTCTTAAAGTTATCCATTCTTTTAGCCATGCTAAAACAGAAGCTTGATAATACAACATCCAATCAGGGAGACCAAAACCCCCATTCTCTTTAGCTTCCTGACGTATTTTTAATTTAATCCTTGGTTTCTTCTTTCTCTGTATAAATCTTGAAATTTTAAATGTTAAATCATCAAAGAAATTTTTATCAATTTTTATGGGAATCATTTGAAATAAAAACAGAAGCTTTGGTAAGGTATTCATTTCACCACTCCGGACTAACGATTGCTGAGGGGCAGCAGAGTGACTGCAGTGGAACTGGGATTTTTCCCTGGGGACCTTCCATCCCGTTTTTAATTCCCATTCTTTTCCACGGAGAATCTCAACCCCTCTCCCACCCTGCAACAGATGCACACGGTGTACAGCAAACCTTGGGGGAGACGCTCTGTAATGACACTTGTTGCTTTGTTCTGTTTTGGGGGCTTCTGCCAGACCACCGTCTGCAGCATCAGGAAACATCCAGACTTCACAGCTACTGGGCAATGGCTGGTTTGCACGGAAACAAACGGGCTGCTGGAATCAGCTGTTTTTGATGCCGTTATGGTTTGCAGCGGCCGTTACAAGGATCTTAATTTTCCACTTGGTTCTTTTCCTGGTAAGTTTCGAACGTGGTCTTTAAATGCACACATGATTATTCTCACACAGGGTCAGAGCAAAAGAAATTTGCACTGAAAATCTGCAGGGGGACCAGACAGGTGAGCTCGACCTGAGGGGACAGAAGGAAAGGTTAGGCAGGTGGACGCCAAGGTGGCTCAGCACCCCCCACTGCAGCTTTCTCCCCCAGTCATGGAAAAGGATACGGGGAGCCATCCCAACCAGCAGGGCCTCTTCCCTTTTCCAGGCCCCAGGCCCATGTCAAGTGAATCACCCGCCCAGCACCTTGCCTGGGGATCAAATGAAATCCGGGGGGCCAGCCTCGCCCCCTGGTGCTGTTTGGCCTCGGGAGGGCTGGGGGGCATCCAGCCCTCCCCCCAAGCTGGTCCTCTCTGTCACTGAGCCCTGCCAGGTCCCCCTCCAGCTGCCCTCCCACACACCAGTGCCCGCAGCCCCGTCATGCTGGCTTCGGGCATTTCAAACACCCCGTCTAGCTTGGTCCTCATGTTGCTGAGATGCGGCTGCTGTCAGGCCAGAGAGCCCTGGCAGCTGTCCTCTTCCGAGGCGTTGCCTCAGGCATCGATCCTGATTGTCCCCAGGCCAAGGAAGACGAGATGGACGATCCAGCACAACGTTCTGCCCCACACCCCGGTGAAATGATTGTGACCAGCACGGCTGCTCAAGGGAGTTGTGGGCAGCTGGGAGAGGATATCTGCTGGATTTCATGCTCCGGGGACCAGAATACCTGGCAGCCGCGGCCATCACCGTATGCAGAACCAAGCCCATTTGCAGCTGGGCTGATGGAGTTCTGTCAGAGCACTGCCGGCTCGGAGAAGTGGCCACCCTGGTCCAGCATCCAGTTTCTGAGAGGGGACAGACAAATGCCCCTGGAGAGCTGGCAAGCAGGGCACGGAGAGGGGCTGGACCCTCCTCGGCTCACCTGCAAAGAGGCATCCTACCTCTCACCCCAGAAATTCCACTGAGCTGGCGGATGGCTGTTGCTGAAGCAGAGGGATTCAGGAGCTGCCTCACAGGCTCGGGGCTTCCCTTAGCCCTTGAGACGCGAGCACAGGAATGCCGGACCCAAACGGGAATGCCCTTGAGTACCACAGGTGGTAATAAGGAAAAAAATCAGGTAGAGAATGTCACAGGAAACACACGTAGATGCGGTTCCCTTTTTCCCCCACAGGGATTGAAAACTTTAAAGGCCGCTACATGCACAGCTGGGAATATAGAGATCCAAAAGGGACTGAAGGGAAAAACGTCCTCGTTATTGGTGCCGGGAATACCGGAGGGGATGTCGCTGTGGAGCTGAGCCACACGGCCGCCAAGGTACCCCCCTTCGTGAAGAAATGGCTGCTCGGGGGAGTGAGCGAGACAAGCGCCCTCTCACCGTGGGGAAGCGATAACCGCGACGGAACCATCCATTCGCGCGGTCCTGTGCCATGGCAATGACACCACCAACGGATGCACTGCTACTTTCGGGGCAATTGCTCCCCCGTTGCGCCACCCTGCTGCCCCTCGCAAATATGAGGGGAGGTTTGCACTTGCTTGTGTCCATGGCCTCCGCTTCCCGGGAGGCACACGCACCCTCAGACCTCTCTGTCCTGGACCTCGTGGTTTCCTCTCTTGCCTTGTTAGGGCTCCTGCCCAAGAGATGGTGCCTGGCTCTGCAAGGAGGAGAGGGGCCTCGGTGTGCTTGTGGACGTGTTTCTGATGTTCTCCAGTATAAGGAGGGGTATACACTGGAGGCCAGAATAGATTCCGTAGGTGCATCCTGCACCTGCAAGAAGGTGTTGCAGCCCACCTTTCCGTGATAGGATGCCTAAGGTGGCCTACATCATGAATCCTCAGCACCTGTTCCCCCTCACCTGAAGTCTCTTGCCTTCATAGTAAGTGTCAAAACTCAAGATAAGGGCAGATCCAGGCACACAGCTCCCAGTAAAAGCAAATGCTGCCAATTGAGTGTTAAGGCAAAGTGGAGTCACGCAATTCTTTGCTGCAAGGACTTCTAAAGACTGGATGCTAACATCACATTCCCCAAGCATTTCTCTTAGCTCTCCATCAGACAATGGCTATTTTCTTGCTTTCAGTGCAGGAATAATCATGAAATTGCTTGACCCTGCAAATGAGTTGGGCCAGCTGAAGCCCTCTGCCATGGAGCCCCTACACCAGACGGGTCGGCCGAAGGCCTCAAAGTACTTGCTGAGTAGTTGGTGGTCCCCAGAAACGCTCTCCTTGCTTCTGAATCCCTTCCAGGTCTTTCTCAGCACCAGAACTGGGACGTGGGTGTTAAGCCGCATCTCCAGGGCTGGCTGGCCTTTTGACATGGCTTTCTCAACGCGTCTCAGCGGGATCATTCAGAAGCTCCTTCCAGCAGAGCTCATACTGAAGAGGATGCTGCCAAGGATATGCAATAGGTGGTTTAACCATGAGAACTACGGCCTGGTCCCCTCCCAAAGGTAATTCCCTTGTGCAGGAATGATGCTGCTTGCGCTGAAATCACAGGAGCTGAAGCTCGTGGGATTAGCCCAGCCATGCTAGGAGATGGCTGACCCCCGTGTGTGTGGCGAGAGGAGGAATTATTCCCAATGCATCCCGAGCAAACTTCCCTTCTCCAAAAGAACTACCTTTCTTGTAAAACCCCAGCCAGCTCTGTGACAAACTAAAGATGCTTGCTGGCCACCTTGCTTTTCCCGGCTGATCTTTCTGGAGAACGACTTTTCTGAAGAACAGCCATTTGCTAAAATACCATTAATCAGGAGTTTATTTCTCCTGGATTTACCAAGATATTCTAGTTGTGCATAGATAAAGCAAAGTTTGGGCTAGATCAGCCTTTTCAGGCCAGCATGGACGTAACACAGGCTCTCGCCCTGCCATGGCAAAGCGACCATCACTCCCAGGGGACTGTCACTCAGACACCCTCCTGGTAAACCGTCTCGCCCAGGAGGACAAATTGCCCAACTAAAGGGGGTGTGGATCTTTTCATCGTTCAAAAACATGCACACATCGTTCCTTAACGGTGAAAGGGGGCGTCCCGGATAAAGAGGGTCGGTGCAACACGCACGGTCCAGCGGCATTTCTCCTCCCTGGGTCACAGGCCATGGCTATCTGTAATCGTGAATGACGAGCTGCCCAGCTGCATCCTCCGTGGGGCCGTGGTGGTGAAGCCAAACGTGAGAAGGTTCACTGAGGCGGCGGCGATCTTTGAGGATGGGACGGTCGAGGAGAACATCGATCTGGTCGTCTTCGCCACGGGTTATGCGGCATCATTTCCCTTCCTGGAGGAGTCCGTCCACGATGTCTGTAAACGCAGTGTGTCCCTTTATAAGCAGGTCTTCCCTCCACAGCTGGAGAGGCCCACGCTGGCTTTCATTGGCTTCATAGCAGTCACTGGGTCCATCCTGCCGGCAGCAGAACTTCAGGCTCGCTGGGTCACGAGAGTCTTTAATGGTGAGGAATAAGCTGGAGACAAAGAACTCTCGCCTTGGCTCATTGTAAAGTCCGATCGCTTTGTTCGTTATGATTTCCGGCACTGCAGCGCAGGAGTAGCCCACCTCTCTTCCTCCTGCGAGGGGCCCCATCCAGCTTACAAGGCTGACCTCCACTCTCTTTAAGACTCGCAGGCGGACAGTCCATGACTGGAAGAACAGCGCCTTGGGTTGGGAAGGAGAGCCATTCACCTTTGTGGCTGTCTTGCTGCTCAGATCCGGAGCCCTCACCCCACCCCACCCCACCCCCATTGCCCATACGAAGCTGACCCACAATTGTGGCTAATCTGGCCCTTACCTGTAGTTCTGTTAATTTATGCTTCCAGGAAATTCTTTCTGCAGCCACGGTAGTGACTAAAGAGGTTGGTAGCCGCTCATAAAGTAAAACATAAATGATTTAATGGTGCAATAAACAAACCTCTAGGAGTCTAAGTGAATGCAAGGCTGGAGTCTTATAGACATAGTTCCCGCATCAGTCCCCTTGGAGCTGAGTAGCGTGTGTCTAAAGATTTGGGTGTGATACATCCAGGCATTGTCTAGTATCGTTACCCAAGCTCGTTCAAGGTTTATGCCACTTATTTTCTTGTACTCAGGGTCAAACAAACTACCTACAGTGAAAAAGATGATGCGTGCAGTTGCTAAACAGGAGAAGGAGCTTCTTAAAAAGTAAGAAATGCTTCAGATTCTTGTACATAATATACTGAACACTGTAATTATGCGTATCAATATGCTAAAAGAAAGCACTTGAAATCAGGGACCAAAAGCACGTCTGGCTAAGTTCCGGCGGGGATACAAGCAACACCTGGAAAGAGGAAGGTGAGTGCATGAAATTCCAGGGAAAAACTTTAGTAAATTAAGACAGCCATTGAATATGTACGTACTCAGTGGGACTTCCTTCCCACTGAGTATAAGATTGTGTAAGATTGAACTGTAACTCTCCTTTCCCAGTAACCTCCTTTATACCTTTTCTGTACGTGGCTTCTATTGCATCCTCATGCCTCTCACATGCGGTTGCTCGCAGGTGCTTTGGATGACAAAGTCAGCCACCAATTTCCATCCAGTTTTAAGAGCACTTTAATGAGGTTTTGGAATGAGGGAAGTCTGGGTGCCAGGAGAAATTCTCTCTTCGTGCCGTTTCGTTATTCTGCTGCGTCACCGGGCCACCTAGAGGTTTGGTAGCGGAGAGGAACATGGGAACTCCCCTCTTAACTATGCAGGGAGACTGGAAATGGAAAGAGCCAAGGGTTTGCAGGAAAGGTTAAGCCGCGGGGATCAGGAGGAGGGAGCCTCCATTACCTTCCTTCTGCACTCCTGTGGGTGCTGGGCCTCCTGCGGCACTGCAGGGGATTCCGGGAAAGTTCACAGACCTCGAAGGTACAAACTGCGCCAAGCCAAATAAAGTCAGGAAGCAGGGGACGGCCAAGCCCACATTGGCCAGGAGGAGGGTAGTCCGATGAATGCCCCCTAACCTCTCCAACCATTCCAGGGCGCATCAGCCCAGCTTTGCAAACCCTTTCAGGCTCTTTCCTTCAAGATGGGTTCCGATTTCTGATTTCAGGGAGCAATGGCAGGGTGTGGGGCACAGCATAGAAATGGCTCCAGAGAGTATGTCAGAAGAGGAGCCTCGGCAGGTCCGAGCAGTGAAGCCCTTCCTTCCTGCCAAGCGTATCCCGCAAATGACCCCTGCGTGCTCCTGCCAGCCCCTTTCCACGTTCAGGAGCAAACGCCTCAACAGGCCGTCATCACCCATGCCGAGCCACAAAACTCAGCCGGGCTTGTGTGCAACGTTCTCACCGTTCCACTTCCTTTTCTACTTCAGGAATATTCCCAGTGACAAAGCAAGGTCAGGTTACGTGGTCTACATGGATGACATCGCAAGCTGCTTTGGCGTCAAACCGAACATGACACTGCTCTTCCTATCAGACCCCAAACTGGCCTTGTCCGTTCTCTTTGGACCCTGCACTTCTTACCAATACCGCCTGAACGGACCGGGGAAGTGGCATAAAGCCAGAGAGAAAATCCTGACCCAGTGGGACAGAGTTCTGAAGCCCCTGAAGACCCGGGTCGTAGATGCCTCCCCCCGACACCCCAAGGCTCCTTGCTGGCTGAAAGTCCTTGCATGGTCCGTGTTCCTTGGGACCGCCATGCTCATTTTTAAATGCCCATCTGCTTCATGGTTGCCCAGGATAAAGTGAAGCGAGAGATGCCCTTTACAGATCACAGCCGTTCCAGGTTAGTGCTGTAATCACAGCTGTGGTGTGCGCATTTGAATACCACATTGGTTTCAGAAAGCTGATCATGACATGGAGACGGTGCTATTCAAGGGCTCGCACAGAAGCTGCACAGATGTTCTTTTGCTGTGTGGGTTCTAAAGGCTTGGGAAACAGATGTTTCAATTGCCATGTGATCTGACTGGATCAATATGAAGCCCCCGTTTCTGTTTTCATGATCTGTTTCACTGTGCAGGTGACCTGTACGTTCGCCAATGCAATCCTATACACGTTTCTTCAGAAATAAGTCTCATTATATGCAGTGGGGCTTAATCCCAGGTTCATTAAGGGTGGAAGTCTAATAGTCTGGCAGTGTAGAAATGTTGAGCTTCAGGGAGACAGCAGCTCAACGTCTTTGCAACCAAGAGCTTTTTTACACAAAGTATGTACGATATTCCCTACCCACGGTTATTTACGGGTTCTTCGGATGACATTGTGCCCCTCCAGATTTTCTTCTGTTTCCTGCGAAAGAAAATGCTATTTCTAGTTGTGTATTAGTTCTCTTCTTCTCTATCACAGTACCACCTAAAGGTTAGGTAGGGGAAGAGCAGAAAAGGTAAAGCTCCTGGTTTTGAGCTCAGATCCCCATCCTGAGACAAAACCAAAAGAAGAAACAGCAGATTAACAGCCTTAAGTAAAAATGTTCCGAATATTTCACATTGCCTCATGTTTGCTTGCTGGTCTGTGACTATAATAAAGAGAACTTCAGTTTCACCTCCCCCTTTACCCTTCCCAATAGCTCATCAGATCCAGACAGGCCGCTGGCTCATTGATCTTTTCTTCTTTCTAATAGCTGCTGGTTATAAATTGTAAAAATAGAATTTAAACTTAAAATTTAATAAAGGTATTTAATAGGAATTGAGATTCATCAACCTCATTTCACTGGAGAATAAGTATCTACCCACAGCGTGGTTGGATCTTCAATTGCCGCCAGTAACAAATAAGCTTGATTAGGAAACCCTTTCATTTTACCCGTCTTCTGATAGCTATCCAGACAAATCAAAGTAAAATTTAAAGGTCTTGGGCAACTGTTTGGTGCCACTGAGTTGCCGAGAGCAGCCACGAGCCCCTGTGAACCGAGCCCAGCCAAGGCAGGTCACTTCCGACCTGTAAAAGCGTGTGATGCCTGCAGGCACTCACTCGACTAAACTTAAAAAGAAGGAAATGCACACCTATGGGGTGAGGGGAGGGGAGGGGAGGGGAGGGGGAGACCGCTGGATCCGGGCGTCGTGGGAAGGCAAGACTCCCTGGAGGAGCCAATAATGCTAGGCAAAGGCGGAGGAGGAGGAGGAGGAGGAAGGGCCAAGAGAAAGTTCGACTCCATCAAAGGGCACTTCGGAGGGCGATCATCCATGGGGTCTGCCAAGCTCCCCGGGCGGCACGTAACCACCGGAGGCTTCCGACGGCGGGCAGTCCCAGGGCGGAGGAGAGCAGCGAGAACAGCACCGCGATGGAGCAGGAGGGAGGAGGCGATTCCGCTGCGAGGAGGCGGAAGCAGGAGCACTTTCGTCCAGCTCAGCGCGCGAGCCCGAGCCGCGCAAGGGCCCCGCGGCCCGCCGGACGCCCCCGCTCGCCCGGCAGCCGCTCCTCCGCCCGGCCCAGCTCGGCCCGCAGCCCGGGAAGGGCGCTGCCGCGGGGGGCGCCCGCCACGCCACGCCACGCGCTCCGCGGAGCCCCGGG